AGGATCTTATTATAAAGAGACTTTTAGTTTCAGCAAAAGCATCAATTGTATAAATACTATTACTTATCAACCCTAGATTACAATGTTTTATTAGAGAAAGAAAACTATAAGTCAGTAATATTGAATTAAAGAAAAGCATTCGATTCAATAACTATATTTATATAATAATCTTTGATAATTATAGTTTGGATAATAAACAATAAATAAAACAGAAGAATTAGGATATATAATAATAATAATTTGTTATAATTTGTTATAAGAAATAGGGGACTTTATATTATTTATTATACTATATATTTGTTTGAGAATAAACAAAATTTGAAAGAAAGGGATACTATTACGGGTTCATTATCTGTTTCTATACTTATCTATATATATTTATATTTATCATATATTCATTATTTATTCTTAGTTAGCTCGGGTAAATGCCTTAGATATCTATCTATTATATAATCATCGTCGCTCTATATACCTTCTTCTCTCCTTGTCGAATATCATACATCATACCTAGTACCCACCAGAACCCGTACCAACCCCGTGATAAGTTCTATCTAAATCACATCAATACTATACTCTTTTCATTCAGAATATCCTTACTCAAAACGTTATACTGAGTGCAAGATCAAACTAAGAGACTAAATATATATACTATATTTTTGTCTTTATATTTAGAAGCGGTATTGGTTTAACAGAAATAGCTTTAGTTTTATTATATACTTCAAAATTAAAGAATCTTTTGCTTTTAATTCCCTTTTCTTAATTTCATCAAAAGCTTCAAAACCCTCACATCTATAATAAATCTATTATCATTTCAGTAAAGTAGTATCAATCCCTAAACCATTGAATCCCTATCAATTTTGCTCCACTTCAAAACCAGTATAACTCTTTCTTTTTCCTTTCATCTTCTCCCTTCACCTCCTTCCCTCCCTCTCTTTTATATCTTTTCAGCTTCTACTAACTTATCACTCTACCAGAATCGATGACGACGATACTCTCAAATAGCATGATTTGCCATCACCTCACTTGTGTGGCGACGACGATATCGATCCTTTAATCCAAGCCTCGACGAGTTCCACTTGGACCTCTTTATAATATCGAAAAGATTTAGCTTCAAAGTTCGAAACGCCTTCGACCATAGGTAACTATTGTTGTGAAGTAGGTAATGTTGTGAAGTGTGAAGTCGGCAAAAAGTTCCTCCGAACCCGCCTTCGTCATAGTCAACTTTTTAGACCCTTACCTAGTATTTCTTTCTTCGCACAAAACGCGACAATTTTTATCTCGGTTTCCGTGCATATTTTTTGGACTTGAAATTGCGTTCAGCGCACACTCTAAGAGTCAAGCCATATTTCCAGACAATCTACGGAAATCGCCAACATGAGTGGGCCACCATCCACGTTTGATGCCGAAAAGGCAGACAATTTTGAAGACGTAAGTTATCCTCCATCGTATCCCTGCAAAGTCCTGTTGCATATATCCCATGGTCCAAAATACTGACATTTCCTCAGATTGAGAAGCAGTTTGCAGTCAAAGGTTCGCACAGCTCCATAATCTTGATCTTTTACCCCGCGATTGACCCCGCAGTCAGCCGTTCAACATATGTCTACTTATTGGGCAATCCTCGAGAAAGTCCGCGGATCCGCTCTCCGACTCACGAAGATTGATACCGAAATCTACGAACATTTGATGAAGGATTTCCCGGATTTCGATCCGTCCGTTACAATCAACGAGGATGAAATGAAGAGCAAGGCCGGAAAGGAGAGGTGGAGGAACTTCATGATGGCTTATGAGAAGAAGGTTGAGGACTATAATTTTGGAACCATGTTGAGAACGAATCCAAAGTTCGAATATGGAGAAAAGGAGACCATCTTTGGTATGCTTTCATTTAAGCGATTGTTCTGGGAATGATTGAGCTAACAATGGCTTTGAATAGTCCCAAGAATGCAGTTTTATGCCGTCGAGATTGCGAGGTTCGTTTTATATCCTCTTGCAGAGACTTGCTCCCTAATAATTGAACAGAAACCGCAAAGGGTTGAACGATTGGATTTACGAAAAAGAGGCCGAGAGAAAGGCTCTCGAAGAAAACAAGTCTTAAGGATCAAATCGAATTTAGAAATAATATACCCTTCATACTCAAGACATTTGGTCCACGCCTTTAGCCCAAAGATTTATTACATATGTGATAATCCGAAGTTGATTTCATGTTACTATCTGTTGGTATCACCTCGGTGGTGATGACAGTGACATCAGATTGTTTAATCAGATTTGATAAAGTAGTGGTGATATATTGAAGCTATTCCCACTTGAAGGCGGGAAGCGTTAACCTTATAGGGCCGATATGGCATGCCTCGCGCAATGACCAAGTGTTCATATTCACCCATATCGCAATGGCCGATCTGCTATTCAATCTCTGAGATTCCTTTCCCTGGTTTTTGCTACTGATTATATGGCGGCTGAGATTCGCGGGAACCTGTGTTCATTGGCTTCAGGAGTCTAGTTAGAATTGCTTTCAAATAGGTTAGTTCAATGGCCTAATATCAGCCCGGCGCTTGAATTTACTGGCTTGAAAATATTTCAGAGTTGAAGCCTAATGATTATACCAACACTTGAGGTCATTTAATCGGTGGTAGCACAGAATCTGTGCTATCTGTTGACCACTGCCAATTATCTAATATTTCTACCCGCAATACCTAGCGATTGCCACGACCATCAATGGCAAAGAAACAGAGACAGAAGAACAAGCAACAGTTCTGATGAGGCAAAAGTACACGCAAAAGAACCACGAGAAGCACAAAAGGGTTGCGCATCCGGAGAAATTTGGAGGTCCAGGAAAGTGTGAAAGAAAAATGATGATGTAGAATTCATTGCAAGAGGAGATTGGGAAGGTGAATAGAAGGAAAGGAAGGAACTTGTGAAACACTGACATGCGGTTTGACCTAATGGAGATACACCTTCACTTTGGCGTGAATTGGGATCAGATTTCAGAATATCGATCATAGCAATCCTGGGGATTTGATTGAGTATGGAGATGGTAAGACTCATACTCTGGGCTTCGAGAATACTATTAATCTTTGAAATAGAATTTGGGGGGCTACGTGGAATAATGATTTGCCTTGTTTTTTGTCGATCGCTTACTTTTCTAGTTGCAACATATGGGCGCAGTAAAACAGATATCGCACATTTATTCGGATACAAAAACGTCATATTACCTCATATTGATACGATTAAGTCATTTGTCAGAGTTTTGGGGGGTTATTTTGGATTATTGGTTAACTGCGTGTACCTTAGAAGTCGAGAAAACCGCCTACAATGCAACTTCACTCCGATCATTCATCCTATCCTTGATATAGTAGCCATTCCCCCACTAACAAGTTTGGTCACCAACCCAACAATTCATATTATTACTCCCCCTCCCAGAATACCAGGAATGCATTACTTGAGAATCCCCCCCTACCTCTCCTCCCGCATCAACCATTCATTTATCAGTCTCACTGTTGAAAGGTGTCTCTTGAATGTTAGGACACTTTTCCCTAATTCCATGTTGATGATAATCACAGGATTTGACTTTTCTCGGATCCAAATCCACCTTCCACTGAGTCCCAAAAGGCCCACCAGGACCACGAGTGGCATTCAAAGTATCCGACAAAAGACCCTCAGTATGCTGAAGAACATAAGCAACCCGCTCACTTCTCTCCTCGCACCTCGCGCCAAAGATACAGTTGATCGAAATAGAGACGTAACATCGAGCAAGAAAACGTCGACCCACGGAAGCTTTCTGCACAACAGATTCAGACTCTTCCAACGTCGTCTGCGAGTAAACATGCACGATGGTATCCATCGAAGGAAAAGTTCGGGTCTGGCAGTAATAGGCGGTAATGCGATTCATCATGATATCTAGCAGGGGCTGAATGTCCTTTTTCTCGGCAAAGATATATATATCCCACAAAACCTCAATATTTAGCACGGTTTCGGCAAGCCAAAATCTACCGCGATATGCATATTGCAGTAATCCTAGGAATACTTTGGGATCTTCGACCAGCGTGAATGAGTTCGTATCTCCTACGTCCCTGAGGATCTTAGCGAAAAGTTGAGGTTGGTGTTGAGTGATTAGCTCTTTGTGGACCATGAACTTTTGCATTTCGTGGTGCTTCATGACGATGATTTTGGCCATGGGGTGGTTTGCGCTAGAGGCATTAGCTGAAGGAATAGGGGATTTGGATCCACTACTCACCGAGATCTCCCAGGTAGTGGAGCGAATCGTGGGTCTGCTTCTTGCCAGTTGTAGGTGGCGAGGGTTTGTTTTTTGGAAGACATTGTTTGGATAAAGTCTTGATGTTAGGTTTGTTGATTGTGGATGGATTTTTTGTGAAGAGAGTCGTGTGAAGATTCGATAAGGTCTTGATGAATAGTTTGGTCTGGTATGTTGTAAGTTGTGGCTTGTGTAGTTGAGTTGTAAAGAAATGTCTTGGAAGATATTGTGTTGAAGAGGTCGAGGAAGAGGTCAAGTTGCTGGAGAGCGTTATATATAATAAAATAGGGCACATCGCCGAAAAGTACATGCGGTAGATAGACTTCACAGTACGGTACTTCACAGTACGGCTTCACTGTACCTATCAAGTGACAAGTCTCTGAATAATGCCGTACTGCGCAAATCAGGTGGTTGATCTGGAATGACTTAAGCGCAGATGGATTATCTCGAGTAGGAAGACTGGGAGACTTTGAGAAGATTCTCAGACTCGTTGCCCGACAGTTTTGATATCTAGAAGTGCGAGGAACTGAGGGATTCATGCAGATAGAGTGTTAATATTACTTAAATTTGTTGTACGCAACGAGGCAAGAAGCCAGGATATAAGTAAACAACATTTAGTGGCCGGCCGCCGTGGATAGTTACGCAAGTCTTAATCACTATTGTGAGATCTTGATGGGCATGATGGCGAGGGAGAGGTAGAGAGGTCGAGAGGAAGAAGGAGAAGAAAAAGTGAGAGCAAGAACATGCTGGGGAGACGAGGGTAAGAGGAGAGGGCCTCTTATTTTTCTCGTCTACTTTTCTGCTCTCTTAAAGAGGGCAAAGAAGGCAACTAACTGGGGCCTAATGGAGGGAAAGACCGGGTGTGGGGGCGTAAAAGGTTGAGTCCTGATTCAGAAAGTGTTTCACAGCAAAATAACGTCTCGCTTATATTATGGAAGATATTTGCCTATCTACTCACATATCACTTGACGACCTTGGCCTTAATTGATGGGTGAGATAAGTTCGTTCAACTTGCGATGGTATCATAAATAATCAGAGGGGTGCACCCTCATATTAGTAGCTGAATACAAATTTAATACTACTCCTAGAATCAGTCTCTTTAGGCAACAACATTACCTAAGCTAGTCGTATGACTTTAACGTCCTGTATGTTATATGTTCCGGGCCATAGCTCAATATCCCCATTGTGAAATGCACTTAGCTCATACGATTCATAAGGGCATTCCGAAATCAACTTAGTATATAGAAAATGATTTATACAATGGGGATATTGAGCTATGGCCCGGAACATATACTTCCATGTTAAAACTGCTTGGTCGCAGACATAGGCTAATTATTGTTTTAGAGGCGATGAGGTCACACAATGTTCTTAATTGATTTAATCCATGTAGAATATCGAAGTGTTTAAGAATGCTGATATGTTCATAGTAATGATCTTATCTTTCTATCTCCATCAACTATATATGATATGAGATGTATCAAAAGCCATATATTCCTCACGAAAACCCGATTTATCCGCCCTCATATCCCTCCACGCGTTCTCAATAAAGGACGCCAAATGAAAAGTCCCAACCGCCAGCAGAAGTCATAGCCCCCGAAACTCCGCAGTTCTGTCCCTAGAGACGGAGGTAATTGGTCTCGTCGAGGTATTCATCCTTGCCTGCTCTCCCCAATTTTCTAACCCCATTCTCTCCACTTCCTCTTACGAAGACCTTTCACGATACTGAGGACAGTCCGCATCAGGAGCGTGATGATGATATAAGCAGGGATTGGATTGACAGGGATCCCAGTCCAAATTATATATCCAGCCCCTTCGTCTAGTGAGGTTCAGAACATCCAACATTAGTCCATCGATACTGATAACCATGTACGCCAGCTCTTCGTTGCTGTATGTAGATCTGTTTCTAAAATTGGGGTTATGAACATTGGAGATGCTGATGTAGCATTTGGCCAGGAACAATCGAGCTCTCGAGTTCTTTCTAGTGTTTCTGTATCCAAATTGGAACTGCTCGAGCGTCGGGAAGGATGGTGAATTGGAGTTCTTGTAGTAAGATACGATGCGATTCATCAAAATATCGTGGAGGTGAATGAGTACATTCTTCTCTGCGAATGCATAGAGCTTCCACAAAGTGTCGATGCTATTTGCACTACTCAAGAGCTTTCCATGGTAAGCCCATTCTAACAGACCCACAAAAGCTTCTGGGTCTTCCTCAAACACTCCCTTTGGTTGGGCCGCAGTTTCGTCCATCTTGATACTGCCGAATATTTGAGGATAATAGCGTGTGATGAGTTCTTTGTGTATCAAGAAAACCTTTTTCTCCTCATCTGTACCAACAGAAACAGCGACCATCTGGTTGTTCAGCCTAAGAGATTTAAATTTAGTCAAGGTAACATATGCTCAGGCGAGAAACGTTGACAAGTCAAATGACGGGATATTGCTTACTTGAGGATCGAAGTCTTTTGGAAGTTAAAAAAGCTTGGGCAGAGTGAGGCTTGAGTCTTTGAAGACATGTCTTCGAGATCTATGGAGTTCATCGATCTTTAATAAATATCCTAGACAAGGAGACCAAACCCTTCAAAGAAGTTATAGATGAGGAGATGGTAATTCAAGTCAAGTCAAGTGTGAATCTGTGTGATGTAGACAGAGAACCGAAAGTCCGATTCGTTATTTGTGAGTTGTTCTGGTGAGTCGACTGTTATGTCTGAAATTGTTGTGTGTAAGTAGATTGATGATCGGGTGTGCTGGAGAAAGAAACTGTATACCTGGTGGCAGATACGGCAGCGTAACTCTCGAGTCTGCAATACAGCCAATAATCTCGCTTAGGGCTACGGCCAGAATGAAGGCGACCATGCTGGTTTAGGAACCGTATTGGTTGGTAAGTCAAGGCTGCCATTTGCTAGGGCATAAAGGAGGGTTAAAATTCAATTGGCAGTTGACTCATATAAACTAAACTGTCATTTTAACTGATTTAACTTTTTCAGCTGGTAGTTTAGTTTATGAATTTCAACTGATAATTGAAATCACACAAACTAAACCAACTACCAATTAGAATTAAAGAAACCAAATTGCCAGTTCTTTCAGTGTATTATTTCAACTGGTTAATACTGCCTATGCTGCCACCAAATGAACATAAACAACCCTTTAGAATAGATTCGCCATAACCCTAGGTTCTATTACACTTCTATATACATTACCAGAGTGGCCAACCAGTCAACTAGCTGATAGCAATGGCTATCAACTATCAGTTTGAATCAGTAACCTAAAGCTTCAAAATATTAGTAGCTAGTTAGTTAAATAATGATTCAGTTGATAGTTGACTTATCAGTTCAAAAAATCGAAGATTTATTGATTTTGGAGTAGATTTGAGATATTTTTAAAACTGTTTTGATTATATTTTGAATATATTTTGATAAACCTGATTAAAAAAGGAAAAATATGAAAATAGATAAAAATATAAAAAATGAAAAAAGGAGGAGAGTAGACAAGGGAGTGGGGTAGGAGGGGTAGGGGGGAAAGGGAAAGGGAACGGAAGAAGGGGAAGGGTATAAGAGGGAGGAGAGTGGAAGAGGGAGGAGAGTGGGAAAGGGGAATGAAAGGGAAAGGGGAGAGAGAAAATTCAAAAGAAGAAGAGAAGGAATAAAGGAAAAAAGCAATCTAGGAATCCGACGGTACTATTATCAAATGGGGCCTCGACTACCCCATACATGGAACCCAAAGGACCTTTATGGTAGTATTGGAAGAAAAGTATATTTTATATTATCATTGAGTCAGCTAGAAATTGAGAGCTAATTGATAGCTAACGGACTAACTGTTTAGACATTTTGTTAATTACAAAATACAGATTCCTACAATTCATTTTTAATATCCTATATTCAAAAAGTTTAATCCTTAGTAAAAGACAGATCAATTCCGAGTATAACAAATTTTTTAAAAAAAACAATCTCTAGAATTATAACAAACTAATTGTTAGAAAGTGATGCCCTGTGGCGTGGTGGAAGTAGCAGTATTATTGACTATCTAAAGAAAGGTATATAGTACATGACGAGGAGGGAAGGAGGCGCACGGAGCGACGTCGACAATATGCCTTCATCTGGACCCTAGTCATACATGTGAAATGGAGGAGAATTCGTCCAATTGTGGATATTGCAATACTCAGAAGAGCCGGTGCGAGAAAGTAAGTAACTCGGAACTAATCCGGTTGGGTCTTACTAACTTTTAATGATAGATCCCTATAAGTCTCTTACCTTTGACAAGACAGATTGTCACTTATGGCATCCATCCGAGCTAGCTAGGAACGGGTAGTAAGGATGGTAAGGATGGGTAAGGACGGTAAGGACGGTAAGGGTGGTGAACCCGTGACATATAACCTCAACTTCCAACACTAATTATATTTGAAATACTAAAACCTAAATCGAAATTGATCTTTCTATAGAGACTATGTGGGGAGAGTGTAAGTTGACAAGGGAATAATAGCCTTATAATATGCTATTGTAGACTTTCTAAAAGCGTCTAGATAATATAATTTAGCCAATGTTGCTGTCAAAGGCGCTTGCAGAGCAAGTCCTATTTCTCGATAAACATCGGCTTATGTTCGACAGTTCGAGCAAAACATCGAGAATAAACGTCGTTAATCGACCAGGTTAATAGTGGCCGTTAAGGCAAAAGTGATAAGCTATTAGCTGATCCTTCAAGCACAAGCAAAAGCAGGATTCAAAAGATATCATTACTGTAAAAGGCAAACGTAAACGAAAGAGCAAGAATCTCATAATATTGGTAGCAAAAGTCAAAAGAACATGGAAACGCAAGGTAGAAGTTGCTGAGAATAAGATCAAAATACTAGGGCTAGATAGTTACTGACTGCACTGTCCTGAAAGTTTAGAAGGACAGCATTTTGGAGGTTATGAACGAAATATTCTGCAATACATGAGGCTATAATAATATCCACTTGTATCTGAGCTCTGTAATGTTGCAAAGTGCTCCAATTGTGCGAATACATAAAATATTTTCTTTACATGATCAATGAGTACAGTAGCATGGCAACGTGAGACCCAAGTATCTAGCTTTTGACCCGTTCACAAAGCTTAGTCGGAATAGTAATAGTCGTAGTCACAACTGTCGATAATGTCCCAACAGCCGGTCGGTTCGTCGTCATTCCAACCGTAGCCTTCATTGAGATCTCCATCGTCGTTTTCATCGAAGTAGTCACGAGGAGGAGGGACGTAATTCCACTCATCCAAATCCCTATTCTGGTCTTTGCTCCACGGTGCTAGCGTTCTATCTGGGCCTTGGGGCTGGTACTCCGGTTTCTGAGATGCCTCGACCCGCTTCTTGGTTTCTTTATTAACCAGATCTCGCCACCTATTGGTATTCGACCGGAATTTGCTCCACATCTTAGGGAGGTATTGGACATCCCCAGCACAATAAGAGATGATTTCGCTGGGAATTGGGCGCTGTTCGAAGACCTTGTAGGAACCGCCACTTTCGGCCTTGAACAACCGCCCCCCTTTCTCCTTTGCCAGCTTCCAGCTCGTTAGGTCGCTGTAATCTAGCCCACTTTGCTCAATACATTTGGCTAGGCCGTTCAAAAACTTTCTGGATCTGGTGGTGGTTCTCATAGCGCTCTCCATAAGTTGAAGATCTTCCACTCCTTGTAGTGCCACGCCAAAATGTGCAAATAAGGCATCCGAATCGTTACGAACGTCGAAAAAGACCTTTGAGATGTTTTCGTCTTGAAGAATTTCCTTTAGCGTCCTCCTTTTGATGCCAGTAGTGTTGAAAGCTTGTGAACCTAGCAAATGCACATCGATAAGATAGACGCTTATGCTCGGGATTCCTGTATCGATCAGAAGGGTAAGGATGGAAAGTGAACCCTCACGGCAGAGGTTTACGCCTTCGAGATCGATATACATGATTGGCTCGTACGGCTTGGGCGATGCATGGCACAAGACGAGGCAGTCGACTAAATCGCCGATTTGCTTCGCTGTGTTGATAATTTCTGTTTTGATGTTCCTCATACTTATGGCAAGTACTCGAGTATATTGCAATCTCTTTGCAGAGCGTCTACTCGGAATCTGTATATATATCCTTTGATTTCTTTTCTTCTTTTTGCTTAGAACCTTTTCATACCTTATTGTATAATGATCTGAGTCAACATTACATAAGAAAATCGTGGCATCATACCATCAAGGCAGAGACTGGCTATCCTAATCTACAAGGGTAACGACATGAACAATATTGCAATCACGGTTTGCTGCATTTCTCACGGAAGGGTCGGAAGGTTACTTTACCAGGGTATCGGCTACAAACATGTGATTTCTTTAGTTGCACAAAATGATATTTGACAATATATGTGTCATTAATTGCACTGAGTTATTGTGCCTCACAATTTGTTTGTTACACACATATGTCTTATAATGCCGACTATACGGAGGGAACCGCAAACAATTCTCAGCCTTATTGCGGCACCCCAGTATGCGATAGCCCTGAAATAAACTCTAAGAGAAGATTGTTTTAGGGACAGAATCACCACCTTTCTTTTATTAATGTTTAGCTAGTCTAGATAGAAAATGCAATAGACTGTTCTTGTTTTGATATAAGCCCAAAGCTAACAGAGGGTCCGTCTGGTTGAGATTTCGTATATACATACTATCGTCTCTTATCATATAGTCAAGTGTTATTAGTTTGCATTCCCGTCTTGCTATTACTATTATACCACTCTCATTAAATGCCTTAAAGCATTACAGGTGTCTTAGTTGTTTTATGCCTGGAAATATACGAGTAGCGCCTTTAGTGCTAATGCTCGCTAAGCTTTCAGGGTTACTCGTATACTATTTACATTATGTCTTAACATTCTTTTTCTAAGAGCAGCAATGTGCACAGACTATATAGCAAAGGGGAGTTGTGTGGGGGTGCAAGCTTATAACACTCTACTTTCACTATAGCTGAGGAGGTGCGTATAGGCGATCATAAGTTTACGTGCCCCACCAACATTAGCATCAGTATTAAATTACAAATAAATATATATCAAAGTAATCACCCATTATTAGCACTCAATTTTGAAACACAACATACTAGTTCACATGTCCTTTTTATGCCCCAAGATATCACCTTTTCCTAGTAGTTTGTGTGCCACCCCTTCGCCCTAATGCACGCTGCTACCCGATATGGCATATCATGGAGTAGTAGTAGTAGTAGTAGTATTATTTTACATCAGGAGAGCAGCTTAGGGCTGCCCTCAGAACCTCCCTAGGGGTATACAGATGTTCTAAGCTATGGTTTTACAATATATGAAATAAGAGTGCCTTAGAAAGAAAAGTGAAAGCCTTTATAGCTATTCCCAGTAATCGTATATTACTTTCCAATTTGTATATTTTCTTCTCTGTTGGTTGAAATGATTCTACTATCTTGTCTGGTGTAGACAGGTGTACCTCTATTATAGGCTTGCCGTTGTTTGCGCTGGACGGATTGATGAGCTGCTTTTGGTGTAACAGTTTGAATATTTGTTATGTTTCGGGGAGTATTCTCAGATATGTTTTCACATATCTTATTGGTATTCAATTAGGTTTTTTATACCTATTAATGGTTTTATTTCTCTGTATATACTTTGCAAAGGAAATTAATGGCTTTGTTTATGTTGTATATTGTGAATCGATTCTGGTAATGAGTGTGTATTATCGCGAGGTTTTTAGATTGTTTGTTTTAAGTAGAATATGGGCTTGTGGTCCTTTACTTTGGGCATATATCTTCGTAGAACTTCGTGAACTTTAGTAGTTTTGTGAAATCTATAGCAAAAGTAGATTATATTACAATTATTTACTAGAATAAGATTATAATACAAAATAGATTCACTACACCTACAAACACTTTCCTGGCTTACTATAATAAAACCATTAGTACTAGACTTTTGTAGAATCTTCTGACTATATATAAACCATCTCCCATATGAATACCTTCGGAGATTCCGGTCCACATTAAACCTTTGCTTCATGTTTCTACCTCTGTTTGCTTCTTAAGCCTACCCGGTATCTCCTTTATCAACTGTCTAATATCCTATTGTAAACCGATATACGTATCCGTCCTTTTGAGCTATATAGACAATATCATTATCACTGCTATTATATATTATGCTCTGTAGTATATAAATATTGTTTCGTATTACTTTGCCAGATCTTTCCTTTCTACAAGGCCGATTATATCTCACAGGCTTGTTGTGTTCATATTTTTAACCAAATAGTGTAATTGTAATATTTCCAATCCATTAACCAAAACGTTTTTGTATTCTTTTCTTTTTAATGTATAGTTTATAATTGTATAAAATAATTGAAGCGGAAACTTAAAATTTATCGGATTAGAATTGGAAAGGAATCGTAATCCCGTATATTGTTGTTGGGCCTGTCTCTACAGGGCATTTCTTTGAAATCCATAGAAACATCCACATTATTCCCTCAGTATATACAATATTCCTTATATTCCGTGGATCTTTTGCAAACGCTTTCTGTCTTTCTAAATCCCTCGTTGGACTATGGTTGGGTTGTTTTCCGTTTTGCTTATTTTATATTGCTATTCCCCTAACCATCTGTAATAATCTTCAATATAGTATACTCTTATATTATATTTGTTGTAAGATTCCAAATCAATTTGTGACGCTTCAGAGGTGTTCTGTTGACTTTCAATACAATTGCTTCCTTCGCAGGCTTTGCTTTCTATACAGACTTGAAAGGGCCGGTTTCATTTCAGGGGCTCATAGTGAGTATTCTGTCAGACTCTGCTTCCCACAACAGATTTGTAAAGGCCAGCATCGCTTTGAATTTATCGATTATAGCTTCCATCGTTGGATGGTTTTCATCTCTATTTCGCTGGTAGTTTTTTGTTCCGGGCTTATTACAAATGCTTTCGTTACGCTTAACTGCAAATACCTTCAGTACCAATAAAAGCCTCCGATAAGTATACAACCACCACCCAGTTCCAGCGATTCTACTTAGCTCTCCGAACACTAGTAAACTAGGTCGAAGGTTTGTAGGATACATCACGTACAGGTGAGAGTCTTCGCATCCCTGGCATATGGAAAACCCCCTGCGCAACTATTAGAAGAATACCCGCTATAGCACTCGCTGGTAGCAGGCAAAGCCCTTGTTGAAATGATGACACCGATGTTCGAGCCCAAAGAAAATGGCATATTTTACTTTATGTCAATAGAAACGCCAGCATCGTTTCTAGACAGTGCTAAAAGTCCTAGCGGTGTAGAGGATATGCTTGACGTTGATTGGACGTGATTATACGTGTCACGCTACTGTCTGGAAGTGGAGGTCTGGAGGAATCCCAAGTGGTTTGGATCATATGATGATATGACCACAGTTGCCCTCGCTTAGCGAGTCTGTACACTAGTTGCCAGGCCTCGAAGCCTCTCTTTCCTCTTTAGCTTTGTTTGGTCTAATACAGCCTACTTTACGCATTAGTTGTTGCTTGGTGTGTGTTGACAGCAGCCGTGTATCTGCTTCTGAGCTTCCCACAGCTGTAGACTCGAGTAAGGCTAGTATCCCTAGAATCTCCGAGAACCAAACTGCAATACTATCAAATCTCAGCTAACTAAGCATAAGCGCTTACTATACACAATCTAGTTTTTAATACTCCGAATTACAGTAGTAATACAAGATTGTAATCCAAAAGTGAATAAAAAACCGTAAATCAGATAATCTATTTCACCAATTCTTCCAATTATATAATCTGCCTAGCCACAACCTTATTACATATCTTAACCAAAAGGATAAGGGCATAAGCTTAGTTAGCTGAGATTAGATGGTAGTAGGTCTGTCACCTTTTTTATAAGCTCCTCTATGTCTTGACTATCATCCTTGGATTTATGATCTCATCATTCTTTGGTTCTGCCAGTCTGTTGTCTGCACATGTACAGGAAAACCATATCCAGACTCAATATGCACTAAGCCTTGAGTATCTGATGTAATTCGCACTAAACACTGACAAACGTATCAGGAAGTAATTCGTATCGTAAAGGAGATATAGGACATACATTAAAAAAGCATGCAAGTGGAGAAGACTGTAGCTATAGAAGTTTGTGACTAGTACGAAATATAAGATGCCAGATCGAGACTAACCAGCGATCAAAGATATATTTACAACAATCAACTGTTTGTTCAGTAATTTCCACTAGATATTGACATGGACGAGAAGTTAAGAGAGAAACTTCTTAGCGATATTCAAATAATAACAGACCGCCCAAACAACTCCGGTATCTCAGGGAAGTTTAGGGACATATTAGCTCGAAAATATCGACCTCACACTGGAAAAAGAAGAAAAGTGGGTATATGGTCCTCGGGGGGAATAATTTTCTGCCGAAAAATCGTCCGATAACATTTTCTTTCATCTTATAGTGCTACAACAATGCAATAAAATGACCTCACAACGAGAAATTGATCTATCATCCCGAAGCCTGAATTCCCGATTTGATCACCTCCACCACTTTAACACTCCTTAGACCCTTGATTATGTTCGTTAACGTTGGAAACGTCATTTCCAGTTCTCTATCTTCCAAGTCCGTGAACACGATCTCTGATTTCCCAGCCTTCCATCTCTTTTCTCCTTCTGCGCTCGGTATTGAAGGGTAAATAGTCGCGTAGTCTGCATCTTGTCCTTTGTTCATACTCGATGGAATCACTTTATAGTGCATAACAGGGGTCTGAAGAACCGAGTCGGCATCTGGAGTCTCCTCCAAATCATTCAGGGTTAAACGACAAAATTCAGTACCTTCCCAACCAGCACTCAACATGAAAGATGAGGTCGATTCAGCCTTTTCATCCAGTGTTGCAAAGACCTTTGAGAAGCCCAATTCTTCTCGGCCGGTGATGATTGGATCGGCCATGTTTTCGAAGAGAACCGGTAGTAGATCACCTTTCAATTCAGTCGCAGCATCCGAACCGGTCTCTGACGGACCTTTGTGTACGACATTATGAACGTATAATCCGAACATCGAGTACCCTCGACCACCCAGCCACTCCAGATTTCCTAAACGTGTGGTTGAGAACGTGGCAGTCGCCCACATATCCTCAGTCACTATCTGGAAATCGTCAGATGGCAAAAGTGTCGATAGATAGCTCTTGTAAGTTTTGAAGGTGATATAACTTGTTTTATATGTGGCTTTCAAAGGCTTTCGTGGTTTTCCGTTCAAGTTCTGTCTTGGACCTGGGTTAGGTCCAAAGGACACTGGCATCCTTCGATACAGAGCACTTCTGTTCAACTCGCGGAGTAAAATGCCATGCGCATGATCGTACGCATCATGAGAAAAAATCGTCTGCATAAATTGCATGGGATCCGTAACTCTTCCTCCATGCTTTCCACGAGGCGTTTGGAATGCAGCTTGCCGAGTGAAATCTTGAACAAGCGTAGCACGATCATATCTTGCTTGGACATAAAGTTTCAGACGTTGCTGGATGTCAGACGATTGAGTACCCAATGGGAACAAAGCACCAATGGCGGCGCTGTCCTCTATTGCTTGAGCACCGCCTTGTCCTTGATGCGGGAGAAACCCGTGAGCCGCATCTCCAAGAAGTGCCACTTTACCGTGAACCCAGTTTTCTCTTCCCAGCTCATCGTGGTCCAGCAAGTTCCATAGCTTGATACCTTCGGGGGCAGCTTTGGCAAGCAAGGCGCGAATATCGTCTGCAAATGAGGTGTAACAACCTAACATCGAGTCTTTGGATGCACTTTGACTCCATTCTTCGGAACTAGCTTCCGTTTCCTCTTCGGGGTGCATTGCCACAAGATTCAACAAAGTGTTGTTTCTACAAGGATAAGCAACTATCCTCCGGTCTTTTCCATAAAAAAGAAGCATTGCTCCCCTCTTTTCAACGAAATGCGCAGTCTTGGGATCTGCTCGAATTTCATCGATGGGAATCAAGAATCTGAAAGCGCTGGCTCCAGACGACTCCGGTGGTGGGTGGTCCTTCACAAGGGAAGCTCTAATCCTTGAATGAATACCATCGGCAGCGATTATGAAATCGCCAGTGTGCGTAGATCCATCATCCAAAGTCAAAGACGGAGCTTCGGCATCAACAGACGTAACACTACTTCTAGTATGTAGAATTGCGGGAAATCCCTTGCCTTCTTTGCCGGTAGCAATATTTTTCATGGCACTATGAAGATCCACTCGATGAATGAGCTGAGACGGGTATGGATAGCCCTTAGATAGGGGTCTGAAATCTCTGGAATATACCAATTCGCCGTTCGGTCGATATTCAGTCATCCACTCGTGCAGATTTGCTCCATGATCCTCCGGTACCATTCCAAATCTTCGTAAAAGGCCGTTGACATTGCTTGGAACGGTTATTGCTGCACCAGTTTCAGATGCCAATCGAGACTGTTCGAATATCTAAACTGTTGTGAGCGTCGAATTCTTCGATAAATGATATCAACATACCTCTACAATGTGTCCTGCTTGCCGCAGAAAAATAGCCGCTGATAAGCCCCCAATTCCACCACCAGCTATCAATACCTTCAAAGGTTTATACTGGTCGTCAATGCTCTCGTTTGTAGCCATCTTTATTTCCAAGACTACACTGTATTAAGGATTCAAATGTTCGGAAAGTAAGTTCCTGACTGCAATATTAGCGATTCTTGCTGCAATGGCTTCGTTAAATCTTTCACGAAACTGCAGTCAATGAAAGATATGCAGTTTTGGACCAAAAATCAAACTCCGAATTTGAACCCATAGAATCCATCTCGAATATTATGGTTTAACTGCCGATCCTGGGGTCCCGCCCCCACCGGGATCTTCGTTGTTGTGCATATTACATTGTCATCCATCAACCCGGCCCCACACATAGAATATTCAGCGGGCATCCGGACATTTCTTCAACAACTAACCCCGAATGCAACATGACAATGAATCTGGTGGATTTCTACCTCTCACCTCAGATCAAGATGCTACTTACATTAGATTCTCTATCACCTCCTCTTCTTTGTTGTTTTGGGCATCTATCTTAGCTTGTCCCCTTCTACCTACATACTCGTGGTACCTATTTATTACTAGCTCTTTGGAAGTACAACTCGAATTGATTCAGCATATACTCAATCACTTCCATTACAATATCTCTATTATCAAATACCTCGGTATTTTACATCGAAATTTACACCCAATTTTCGCAAAGAATAATGGCGAACTCAGTAGAAGCCAGTCCTCTACCCAAGATCTCCCGACACATTACCGACCATGACAAGAACGGCAAAGCCATAATATCCTCCTCCCTCCCCTCAGAATCTACCTGGACCGGCGTCCAAGGCGCCAAATTCTTCCTCGGATACTGTACCACCAAATTCCCCGTAAACATGAGTTCCAACCAAGACATTTCCCGCTACACCAACTATCTATCCTCGCCACCCGGCTTAGTGGTTCCCGGCGGCACGGTTCTTCGAGTTGTGGATATGGAGCCCGGCCACGTATCTCCGATGCATAGGACGACGAGTTTGGATTATGGGGTTGTGATTGAGGGGGAGGTGGAACTGCTCCTGGATGGAGGTGAGAAGAGAATCATGAGCAGAGGTGATATTTGTGTGCAGAGGGCCACGGCCCATGCGTGGAGAAATTGTAGTGAAACGGAGTGGGCGAGGATGCTGTATGTATTGACGGAGGCGGAAATGGTGGTTGGGGAAGATGGGAAGGGGCTGGAGGAGGAGTTGGGGGAGATGGAAGGGGTGAGGAGGAGTGGGTAGGGTTGGTAGGGAGGATGGTGGAAATTTCGGATTGAGGAGTCAATAATGGAGGAGATTAGTTGTTATTGTATCAGCCATTAACTTAGTTACCTTGTCATTTCGATTTACTGAAAGACGGGAGATCTTCGTCCCTTCTTTGACTACGTATGCAAGATAGCTTCAAACTATGAAATTGTTTTAATCCCATTTATCATTTACAAATTAAGTATGGAATATGAGGCACTATCATTCCATATGTGAAAAGACCTGAGAATTTGAACAACGAAGACACTATCCCATCACACGCACTCCTCCCTAGTAGATATAAAAGAAGAAGTGTAGTTATTCCTCTCAATTCCCAGTCTATGTCTATAAGGTAACGTGACAAAACTACCGTCTCACATATTTTCATGACCTGCATATTCTACACCAGAAACACCGGAATCACAATTGCACACCGAAATTGAATTATCAAAGCTGTATTGAATACCAATGATCTTTTTCCTTAACATCAACATACCAGATCATAACGTACTAAATCCGCCTCTCTACGATCTTGAAGGCACAACAGGCAACACAACAAAGTTTTCCCGTCCCTCCCCAAAATGAATATTATTCGTCCCCGAAAATTTATCCACAGACCTATAATGATTCAAAGTTACAAAGTCAGCAAGTACACTCACCTATCTTATGCACCCAGAAAGACAAAACAAAACAGCAGCTTACCTATCCCTCAAATTCCCATGCGCAAATATCCCACATCCCTGCGTATCTCCCGAACTAACCTCAAACACAATGCGACCCCCCTTCTCCACCACCACATTCGTAGGCCATACCTCCAAATCCACCGCATAGGTTATTTCGGGCGTGACTTCTTGAACGTCTGTTGAGCGATATTCGCGATATGGTTGATGGGGTAAATTTCGAGGATGGGATTCTGCGATTTTTCGCAGAGAGGCTCGGAGCCAGCCCTTGGTTAGTGGGATAGGATCTCCGGCTGTGCCGGTGTAAAACACTTCTTTGCCTGAGGGAGAGATGTGGCGGAGGGTCAGGAATATGTCGATGTCTTTTTCGGGGGCAGTTGCGGCGGCGGAGGGTGAGTGCGATATGTTTAGATGGGCGGTGATGTGGCCGGTGATTTCTGTTTCTTGCTCGAATGGCGCGCTGGTGAATTGGACGAGTTTCGGATCTTTTAAGTTACCTAACGCATCGTATGATATTATGTCTGCGCTTGATGTTGGCGGGTTGTTGGAGAGTGTTTTGTCTGGTGTGAGGTAATACTTGGTGTATTGTGTTCCTGCTAATGGCCATTCGGTTTCTTCTCTCCGTTCATATTTGATCTCCGCTTCGGCATTGTTGAATCCAACATCTCCTTTTCGAAGAATCACACTCACGGGACTGACTTTACCGGGGACAGACCAACCTACTTTATCCTCTCCCTTGAGAAAAGCGTCGAGGAAGGATTTCTGTACTTCTACTTCCTTTTTGTAATAAAAGGGAAGATCATGACGTCCAGTGATGAAACGAAGATATTTGAACTTGGAACCTGCCCACATGTAGCCATTGACATTGCCTATTTATTTCCATCAGTAATCATACAATCATCATCACATGCATAGACTCACCTCGAAGATGCAATAAGATACCTCCCCAATTCGCCACCGACAAAACCGGAACCTCGATATCCTCCAGATTGAAGTCCTTTGACTTGTAATACTCATCATCCAAAAAGCGGTTGTTTTCGTTATCGATATTCTGATCGTTGCGATTTTTGATAAGTGTTTCTTCATCCATATCCCCTTCAATAGTATCTTGACCCCATTTCGAAGCTGCGCGCCCAGGCCGACCATATTGGTTCGTAATGACCTGTCTATTCCACCAAAAGCGAATGAATTCATCCGAGAGTATTCCACCATGTCTGCATCGATCGCGATAATAATCAGTCATGCCTTCCCAAGGAATGATAGCTGCAAGACCTTTTGGTCTTCGAGCTGCTACACGCCATTGACTGCCTGTGTGAAATATTAGCCCAAAAGAATAAAAACTTCTCAAATTAATCGGAACTCTTTACCGGCGTAATAACTAATCCCCAACAATCCAACTTTGCCAGACGACCAAGGTTGTTCAGATGCCCATTCAACAACATCAAAAAAACACTCGCTCGTGCCTCGAGACATGGTATCTAAGAGACCAGGACTTTGCCCCAATCCCCTCTCATCTGCTCGAACCACCACATAACCATTAGATGTCCAGAATACTGGATCTGGGGTTTCCCAAGCACTATATTTGCTTTTATGCTCAGGGTTTACTTCACTGAAAGATTTGGCGAAGAAACTATTGGGCAATTGTGTCAGTATATTGTCGATTCGTTCTCAATCCTCTGTATGATATAGTATTTGATGATCGGTACTTACTTATCGTAAGGAATATCTTTTCCATAAGGTCCATATGTTACAAGGACAGGAAATTTGGCACTTTCGGGGGCAATTGGCCGGTAGACGTTACATCTCACAGGAAGATGAGATGACTTCAATGGAATCGAAACATTCTTCTCGAATATCAATCCATTTTCTTCGTCTTCGATGATTTCCAAAATGTCTCTGATTTTGTTGGTGGTGGTCATTGTGAATGTTGATTCGCTAGCAACTGATTTTTCTTTGCAAATCGGGATGATCAGGTTATATTCGATCAAACAGTTCATATGTCTTGAAGTCTTTGAGTAATTTCCTATCATAGGCTACATGATCTGTCACCATTAGTCTGGTAAAGGCTTGCATCGTGGTGGGGTGAATTCCCGAAGCGAGCATTGCGGAAAAGTTGCGGAATGTGGGGGATCGGAAGAGGGCAATTTAAGCGAGATCTCCAGCTAGCGCCATGCGTAAACAATCAGGGGTTGGACAAGTACACTTCCGCTTTTAGTGTACGACGCAGATAGCCTTGCATCAATACAATCAAAATTGACCGATTCGATTCATTTTACGATTGCCGAGAGGTATTCATTATCAAATCATTACCTGTAGAATGAGAATAAATATGTCACTTTAGATAGACGACAGGTAGTCACCTGATACAAAAGATTCACTTGTTCTCATCGTATAGCAAAAGACAAAATTCCTTCGATCAATTCAGTTTCTCATTTCTCGACCGGACTAGCACATCTAGAAAATCGACTTTCGGGAAGACTACTAAGATCCCTCATCAAATTACTTAGATTCTCTACCAGAGGCGGAAGTGGTTCGTCCAGAATTGGAAAATTACTCCGATAAAGGTTCCGCGCCATCTTAAGCACTGCATTCGGATTACTGAGTGCAACAGGTTCATTGCTCGAAATAAAATTGTCATCTTCAGGAATTACAGGAACGTTCAATGCATTTCCAGGCGCCAGAATCAGAACTGGTATTCCTTGACCGTTTGAAATGAATGCCCGAGTTTTGTGACTGTCGGATCCAATGAGATTCACCTCCGGCTGCGTAGAATCACGAGTTCTCTGTGGCTGATCGCTACTCTCGCGGGCTAAGCCATTCGACAAGTGTCCATATGCCCACATGGCAAGACTTGCAAAGTAGAGAGCAACGGCGTGGAAATCTCGTAACTGAGCCGGAGACATCAAGGATGACCAGTGAAATATTTGTCCAGCATGCCAAATTGCTTTTCTTGCATGTTCCGTTGTATACCATCGTTGCAATGATTCCAAACTTTGAGATGCCGCTTCCTGTCCAGATTTGCCAGCGAATCGCTGTAGTTCATCTGGTGAAACACACAAAGCCATCAAAAACATCTCGGCTGTGATGATAAGTCCTGGCTGCGGTTGTATTCTACCTGAGATTAGGTCTCGAAAGCTTTCTATTTCGCGATAAAGCTCTCGTTGTTGAGTTGTGATCCATAACCGATGCACAGAGTCTCCATTTTCTTCTATGGCATGAAAACGGGTTGACTCCCCGATTGCCCATATCTGACCCCAAAAGCCATTCAACAATGCTTCATAACACAAATTCACGTCGCACAGTTCACGGTATTCTTCGAGACTACAGAGATTGTGCTTGATATTGATTAGACGAGGTGGCGGAGTCGGCGGTGAATGTAGTATTTCCACATACTTCAACTTCCAGTCTGCTGCAGATTCAGCCAGAAATAGCTCACGGGATGCTGGTATCGAAAAAGAGAGTTCTGTAAATGAAATCAATGGAGCTTTCTGAAGAGCCAAAGAAGCACGAGTATCATGTTGGAATAGTTTGAGAGATAATCTGAAGGATGAAGTATAAGCAGGCTGATATATCCATTACTGCACTCAGCATACCTTTTGAAAGATTCTCTTTGTGCCCATGTCTTCCATTTTCCTTCTATGGTCTGTTCTGTATCATTCTCATTCGGTAGGAGATTTTGTGAATCTAAAGCGGCTGATAAGATTCCACCTCGTCGCATCATCTAGAACATTTGGCTTAAATTAAGACTTCAACTCATTCGGAATATGAATTGATGGGGTATGTTACCGTAATCATAGGTTGTCCAAAGCTCTCCGCTATCTCCATATTTCTTTGGAAACCACTCCATAACCCGAGCTCTAAAGAAAGCATCCATGCTTGCAATGGCTGAAGCTTACGAGTGTTGTTATTGGCTCTTTCCCACTGTGTCTCCGATTAGACTTGTAATTGCGTCACGATTCCAGTGGGAGACCCTTACCAATTCACCAACACTCACTCTCACTACATCTTGAAGAACCAGTCCCATTTTCCATACTGCGGGTACAGAAATGACAGTGGAACCAGCAGCCACAATGGCAATTAAAAGCTCTGGTGCAATGCCCTTCATCATAAATTTAGGAGTATGAATCCAGTTATCAGCCTGATTACTTTGTCGATAGAAAAATGCTTCAGTCATATAATTCAGTAGATCTAACGAAGGAAAACTTGGTATTCCACTCGCATATCTGTTAGTTGTAGAAACGAGGTGAAACATTGTGTCTCGCAACGAACAGGTTATTGACAGATGTTCATGACTTTTAGAGTTTGACATTGGACTTGAATTGTTGGAAGTGATCTTCAAAGCTATGGTCTCTTCATCGATCGCCAAATTATCTCGATCTCTGAGAACGTGATCTGTTGAAGCTGGTGTCCATAACCAAGGCGAGCGAGCAAATGCTGCATGTCCTCGAGCAACATCCCTTCGTGACTCATTCCGTTGTATTGAAGACCCAGAGACGGTATCCTCATCAATCGCAACACGTTTTGAAGCCATTGGGGCAAAGTCAAAATTCTCATCCTGAAAGTTGAAGTCGTCAAAACTAAAGTCAAGACTCTGATTATTGAAGACTGCTGAAGGATAGAAAAGCATTTCATTCGTGAAACTGTCGAACGGTAGTTGGTCCTGAAGGAAAGGAAAATCCGATGGTTCTTTGTTGGAGCCTAATCCGGATAACGTGAAGTTAGGGTCCAGGATCTCTTCTCCATTTCCGATGCTATAGTCAGGATAGAAATTTGTGACTGTGCAATCTTCGTTTCCACCCATACCATCTAATATAGGATCTGATATGCCTGGAGATCGTGCCTGAAAATCGTGAGAGAGGGTCTCTCGTTCCGTGGTCGAGACACGTGTCGCATTCGTATCAGAAATGCGTCTTTTCTTGTGAGATGGTTGAGATGTCTCGCAAACTAGAGATTTTGTTCGGCATCGGAAGCAAGGTTTCTGCTCTTCACACTTGGCCTTTGCAATTGCACATGCTATACACGCTTTTCCAGCCCTCTCTGTTCGTCTGATCTCCGGGCGATTCTGACCCAGATTACGTTCATGAGTCGCGACATGACGATTGAGGAGATCAATACGATTGAAACTTTTCGGACACCGTTGACATCGAAAAGACCGAGAATTCTCATGTGATCTCAGATGGCGTGTAAGATGATCCGCTCGTTCATAGGTTCGTTCGCATATACGACACCGGTGAACAATTTGCGGCGGCAGTGGTGGAGGTAGGATTTCCGGAGCATGATGCGTTTGTGGCTCTGTTTCAATTGAGCTTGCGGCATCAATTAGCATGCTCATTGCATCAATGCCGTTATCGAATGTTGCGTGTTTCGACATTTTCGGCTCAAAGAGGAGCCGTATCTTGTTGGCCGTTGTTGACGCAGTTTGAAAGGGTGGAGGTGGAGGCGGAGTGAGTTGAAGCTGAGAATATTTATTTACCTTGGTGGAGGTCGGAAAGTGCGGGGTCGGGCAGGGGTGAGGATTATAGTGGCATGTAACCCCTGAAATTGATCGACACAGCGCCGGCTCCACTAACATCAAGCTGAATTTTCAGGCTTTACACCCTATATTCCAGTAATCCACCCCTTCATCGCTCCAAAACTGGAGGGAACCGCTTCAAAGAGAATTGTCACAATACTACATATCATCGAATCGAAAGTAAATATACACCCAGACTTAGCAAATTTAATACCTCACTTTCGACGGACGATTAGCCTTCATACAATGGCTCCAGCGACGTCTTTGACTCCTGTACACTTCTTTTCTCATGGATCTACCATGATGCTTGGGGAGGAATCCAACAGTGCGACATATTGGAAAAAATGTGGCGATGAAGCTCTGGCAAATGGGATAAAACATGTAGTAATAATGGTAAGTGACCTTATTTCCCAAAGCACCCAAAAACTCATCATTTCATTAACAACCCACCAGGGCGCACACTGGGCAACACTCGGCAACGAAATCGAAGTAGCCTCCAATCCCAACCCAGAAAAATCTCCAGTAGCCTACGTGCATCCCTCAAAATACGTCCCTTATAAACTAAATCCCGATATTCCCATGGCATCTCGCTGTGTTGAGTTTCTTAGGAACTATGGATTCGAAGCTAAACTCAATGATAAGTTTGATTGGATTCATGATACCTATTTAATTCTGATACGAATGTTTCCCGATGGTTGTCCTCCTACCACTATTATATCCATGAATGCACGATATGATGCTCACTATCATACCAAAGTTGGGACTGCATTAAGACCATTGAGGAGAGAAGATGTGCTTTTTATTGGGACGGGAGGAGCAGTGCATAATTTGTATAGGAATAATTGGTATCAGATGCTCATGTATCGAGGTACAAAACAATCACCTCTTCTTTCCACACGACATAATCTGATAGTCACTAACTACAACTTCCCCCACAGACAACTTCGCCATGGAATCTCCCCCAGACGCCGCGATGCTAGAATTCCGCCAAGAATTCGAAGATGCAATGACCAAGAACTCGGGACCAGAATTGAGAAGAGCTTTAACGATGCTAATGAAACTACCCACGTATCGTGATGCGCATGGCACCGATGATCATTTCATGTCGGCCATGTTTGTGGCTGGGCTTTGTGGGAATCTTGAGGATCGGGGAACGATGGCTGTGCTTGGGGCTGAGGATTGGGAGTTGAAGAATATGTGTAATAGTCAGTATACGCTGGGGAAGTGGGCTTCGGGGAATATGAAGGGAATAAGTGCGGGCTAGGTGGTTTAGGTAGTTGGGGATTTTGCGATTTCGTCTGGCAATGGAAGTGGCAATGGATACTTATTTGTCTTGTAACTTAGTCCTATGTTTGTGCTTGTCAAAACTGATATATATCGACGACTTAAACGTATTTGCACGGACTCATGGATGACTTCATCAGATTCTTGTGGTAAATCTACTAGTAGCATGATATTGTTGGATAGTTTAGCATGTCCGAAGCCCTGGATAGCCACTCCCAAACCATGCCATTATAACAATACAATATTCCAATTCATGACAGCGAAGCTCCATGGTCAATGATCACGGTCCTGGTATACGCACTCACTTTAGAGTATTCCAAAACTTCTCTAAACGAAGGGATCTGTCTCTCCTGAAATCTGCTCATTGAATAACAACTTGAACAATACGATGTATTTTGATACAAATCCCTCAACATCACAGCCCTCAGGTCCACTATACACGCATTCAAACGCTACCCGCCCTCAACTTCCCAATCACACCCCAAGCCAACCTACCCCCAACCCACGAAGCATACCCCAAAGCCGGAATAACAACCGACAAAAACAAAGCAGCCCCCAACCAAATCCCCTGCTCAAAAAACCCAATCGCATGTCCAAGACCCTGTCCCGTTTCCGGTAGCTTCTTCGTCGCTACTCTTTGCATTTTCTTAAGAAGCGCCTCTTTACTAATAGACTCCCTTCCACCAACAAATTCATCAAGAATTAAGAGATCTTCCGATGGAGGAAGAATATATTGCGGGCACACAGATGAAAACATCTCCACGCTATATTTGTGGAACGCGGGAGTTGGAAGGGGTGTTAAGGGAGCGGCGGGTCCCACGAGGAGATGAAGCGGAATTTGGTTTACGTAGCTGATACTGGCGTGAAATTGTTGAGCGAGAAATTTTGCGGTTGATGGATTTGAGAAGAGATAGACGGCAAGTAATGGGGATCTGAAATCTTTTGTAAACATTGTACTTCGGAATACTTGATGGAATTGTGTAAACTAACTTTGATTTTTGAGTCATGATGGCATCTACCAAGCTCGTACTTGACATTATTGGTAGATAACAGCCACTAATCTTCATCTCGATGATGATTGATGTCCTATACTATCTTAGATATGGTCTTGAAATACGAGGAGCACCATTATTTACCTGTCCAGAACGTCTGCAAGAACGAAATTGCTGGATCCAAAAGTTGAGATTTGCTTTTTACTCTCGGCATCTTTGAATGCCTTTTTGGTAGCAGAAATGCCATCGTTCTGCTTTGTACTGCTCTTCCTATTTGAAGAAAAGAATTTGCTTGCATATTTTGTGCAAGCTTCCGTAAAGTCACTCTTGATAAAGTCATTGACGATGACTAAATCGGGACTATATGGTGAAGTTCCTTGAAAAGAAAACCGAGCAGTGACGATAGACTTTGCAGCATTTTCAATATCTGCTGTCCGATCAACAACCGCGACTGTTCGAGCCGAAGAATTCGATATCAGTTGATTGATATTTGCGGTTGGAGAGTTGCTCGTTTGGTCGACTAATAATGCCGATGCAAGGATAGAGTCTTGCAGTACCGTGGGTGAGACGTAGAATGTGTCATTATCTAAAGCTTGTGATAGTAGCTCTTTCAGGATACCGTCGACTTTTGACGTTGTTTCTCCGAGCTAGGTATTGCTCAGCATCTGTTTTGAACTATCAACGAACATTTTTTACGTACCTCTAAACAAACGCAATTTCCAGCCGTTATAGCTGTTGCTATCGGACATATGATTGAATAAAATCTTGTATGCGTCGATGGCCGAATCACCACCGATCCCTTTCCAACTCTACGTGACAATAAATCTGTGCCTCTCGCAATGTTGTATTCATCATTTAATGATGACTCGAAGTTGAGAGTTCGGTAGAGCCTCCGAATAACATCGGAGACGAGATAGAATTCGCATTGGGCTTCGGTATTTGTCCCTTGGGTATCTCCGCAGATATCTTCCGTTATTGCTGAAGAGATCTTCTCGGCGTTGTTTCTCAGGGCTTTATGTAGACTCTGAAGTTGGTTTTGTCGATATCTAATGTTGTCGGTTCTACCATCAATTACAGTTGCTAGCAGCGTGTCAATGTCACCAAATAAAGCCATCTTGATAGTGCGCGAGTTCACAAATTTCTTTACCAGTTAGGTAATGACACATCTTATGGAATGTATTGAAGTTCGATATGCTCGCAAAATTTTTTGCCGCAATGAAATCAGTACTCAGCCGAAGGAGCTGTTCAGGGGGTCGACGGAATGTGGAGGGTGGGGGCAGGAATCACGAATTTTAGAAGTTCTCGGCCCAAAATAGCTTATGTTCGAAGGCTAATTGGCACAGTACCTGGGTCATCCTTCAATATTCCCCTGATACTATCAAGACCCTGATTCTTTTTATCAATATCTCTTCGAACATTGATCGTTTTCGAAGAAATGTCGACCACAACAACGGATAGTTCCATTACCATCTCTGCCCTTCAGACACTGGCCGAATATGACATCCACCACACCGGCGAAGAAGTAGTCACAAGTGGCATAACATCACCAAATACTTCAAATGTACCAACAATTGTCGAAAATCCCCCCTCCTGGCCCCAAAATCAACATCGAGTACCCAATCATCGACCGATAAATCGACATCTTAATTTCTCAGAGCGACCGAATGGAAGTAATGGTGCAGAGAGGGTTTTTATCACCGTCATGTTCACTGGAGTTGCTTTGAATGCTGTGAGTCGACTTCTCAGAGGATTGTGATTTTCATAATGTATGCCTGTATAGTAACTGTATGTATAGGGAGCAGCGCAACTATGGGGTATGACGGGTGGAAGAGGTTTTCCTCGAATCTTTCGATATTCTGTCGGAGGAGAATGGTAATAGGATTAGTGAAGAGGGTTTGCAACTGGTCTCAGGTTTACCGATGTCGTTTGGAGGGAGATCATGTCGAATGATTGTATGGATTGAAGGCTACAAATGAGGCTAGCATCTAGTCCATTTGAAATCGAATTAGTCTTTATGTGTTTCATTTTCCATTTCACTCATCTCTTCGACCAACGTGGGGATAAATCTAGTCTATCTCCATCCGAATCTACCTCTTGAGCTCTTATTCCATCCCAATGTCTACTGTCACGGCTCTCGTCGACAATATCTCATTTCTCATTCATATACGAATCCAAATAGCCCGCGATAATGCAGTTCATGATTCCGGCCTGGCAATAAACCCCAGTGGAGTTTTAATTGACAGTATGAGATCGTGGTGATAATATCAGTTGGTTCCTGAGGGACTGGGATGAAGGTAGTGAGTCATCCTACAGTAATGTGTTCTGTTTTGAACGTTGTGTTATTCAAATTTCGTTTTATGTTGACTTCTTTACGTTAAATGATTATTTGGTTTCCGTTCCACTATTCTATTTTCATATTCCTCCTCACGTTGTTTATTTCATTACGAACATTACCCCCCGAAGAGGAAAAAGATGAATTCATTGAACTTGGTAAAGAAGCTGCTGATAAATGCGTCAACAAGTATTTCACACAAACTCCCCACCAAAGCATTACACTTGCAGACATGTCATCCAAGAACTATCAAGAGTTCAGTTTCGGGAATACTGTGAGGTAATGGACTCTTAAACAATGACTCCATCGATGATGGTACCGGAACAGACGAAGGCGGAAGTGCTGATGACGATACGTCAGACGACATTAGAAACGTGGGCAAGAACACAGATGTCGCCGAAGCCCTCTTGAAAATCACTGCCTTATGAGCAGCCAAGATCAAGAGGCATGATTGACCAGCCGAATTATGAAGAAACAATGGAAAAACCAGACCAATAGGAGAGGTTTCACTGTGGATAAGACGAGAGAACTACCTCATAATCGAACATTTAAATCAGCAGATAAAAACTCAGACAAAATAGACCCGAGTGAAAGAGGATTAAGATATGTTGCTATCAGTGCAATGCTTGGCGGGCTAGCAGCTCAAGAGTTAACAACCAAAAGGAGGGATGGCAGTGCTAGGAGCGGTCGTTGATGCTTTGACTGGCAAGTCATTTGAGGAAAGAATACAGAAAGATGAATGAAAGACAGAGCGAGGCCCGCGCGAAGGAAGATAGATATGATAGAAAGTATAATAGGAACCTTTCATATTAAATGTCGAGTATTTATGCACATGATGAGTCTATAAGCTTTGAGAAATTGCCCCATGAACTTCCTCTTCTCTTTCCTCGAGTCATGTTCAGAAAGACGCCCAACTCTAATAATCTTGCTACAGACATATCAAATGGATCTCAAGCCAAGGTTACCTCAAAATGCTTGAAGTGAGAATCAACTCAAGCTACTGCTCTCCCGGTTAGTACTTTGTGTTTTGTTGTTGTCACATGATTCCAGATTTTCCTCGCTTCCCAACTCGAAGCCAATCTCAACTTCGAGAGTCTCGAGATCCGAATCTTTGCCTTCTTCATCCACACAAAAAAAAGCAGCAAGATTGTCCAGATTCAACACCGCAATATCTTGAAAGTTTGTGTGCAAATAATTTACTTCACTTTCAAAGGGCAATTATGGCACGAATAAGGTGCAGGCCGCAACAGTTCAGTCATCAATGTTGAGCTCAGGAAATATCAATGTCCGGGGAGGTTAAAATCTTTCAATATGATTCGATGTTCTGGATAGATATATCGATCAAAGCAGATTCAGTGTGCAGACGGACTCAGGACTTTCCGATTCAGTCTCCTCGTAATCTTCATCGGGTAACAGATCTGTGAGCATTTTGTTTCAATATTCTGAGTAGAACTACTATCCCAGAAAATCCAGTGCGTAGACTGATTCAAAACTTTCTACTTCAATTTCTTCATAATTCTTCATCAGCTAACAATTCTGTGTGCAGGACGACAATAGTTTCGGCAACAATTGAAGATAAAGCTGGGTTACTTGGCCAGTAAAGTCGAATATCTCACCTGTGCGCGGTGTTGGCCACGACCTGGACAAGATTATAACTTAATCATTTCCAAAGCTAAGAGGAATATCAAGATCCAGAAGAGAAGATACCGGCTTTCGATGCCTAATCGACATCAAGTTCATGGCCTCAATGTTCTCTCCTTTCGTGTTACAGTGATTTTTTAAACACTAGTTCGGAGCTTCGCCTTCCCCGGTGAAGAAGAAAACAGAATACAAACCTATTCCATCCAATCGAATACAATGGCTTCACGCTAGCTCCTCGTTTTACCGTCAAGTAATCAGGATCTCGTTGGTTTGATGGACATCCATATATGCTGCCTCGTCTCGATACTTCAATGGAGACTGTCAAAGATTGGGATCTTACTTTCAGTCAACCTCAAATTAAGAAGATATTCGTCCTCAATTCAAGTCTTCAAATATCATCATCTTACCGCGACTTGGCCACTCCTTTCCCTTCGAAGCTTCTCCAATCTTAAAGAAAATCTGTCCGCGACAACATTTATGGAAGAGAACAGAGTTCGAAAACCGAAGATAGCACGGGGACCTATTGCTCAGCTTTCTGTCTCTAGTCGAATAGGAGAATGCTCAGAGTTTCTGGTAAAGATAACAATAGCACTGTCAGCTTTGATGTTGATGTTGATCTCTGATCTGTCGTGTGTCACTCCCAAGAAAATGCACAGTTACGTTGATCATCACATCCAACCTATTGAAATTTCTTTCGACCATACACATACATTGTAAAGATATGACAAACAAACAAGTATGTGCAAAATCCAATTATCAAGAGATTACATGATGAGATTCGCTTAGGAAGATCTTGTACTCGTAGATCCACTTAGATATCTCCATCATAGAGTGATGTGGCGAATTTTGACCCAAAAAGAAGCTAAATGAAGAGTTGGAAGAACCTCAACCCTGGAATTTCCGGGGAAAAAGTATATCTTATCTCTCAAGAACTTCTTTACATCGGTATGACCAAATTGTACCAATGCTGCGAGTATGAATGTTTTTGATGCTCTGTTCATAAGACTTCCGCGCCAGTTTACCCATCAAGGTATCGCTGGATAAGTCCTTGACGCACTAGATTCAAATAGTCTCACTATAGTAGTTACGGAACTCGATATACTCATCTGAACTAAGAGCTTAGCATCAAACTTCATTTACGTGACCACTTCAGTGTCCCTCAATACTTTGATGGGTTTACTTGGAAGCTTTCAAATACTCCTCATACTCATAAGTAACTGTGCCCATAACTTCCACGCGATTCAAATATTTGCACTACCCTCCCCTCCAGCACTTAATCACAACCCATCAACCCATCACCCCCAAGATCCAAGATCCAAGATCAACCCTCTGCATCTATCGAAAACGTCCTAATCGTAAATAGAAACGTAATCAGAAACATCTCAAAAACCACCGTACAAGTTCTTGGAAATTCAACATGAAGCACAAGACAAGATAAGACAAGACAATTCTAATATCGAGATCCCGCAGCTGACTCAATCAAGTCTTGCCTTGCGAAGCACTACCGCAGACCAATTTATTTGGGGATTGTTAGATGAAGATGATATATATATTATACATCACTAATGAGAATGAGACGACAACGACAATGACAATGACAACAGCTCAGCAGGATCTTTAGTGACATTGTGGGAAAAAAAGAGACGGTAATACGGCACCAAGGTAATATGGCAATAGAAGAGATAGCTAAAAACGGCTTGGGATGGGAGACAAAGACTGGATACCAATAGCAAACTCGGTGATTGTGACTGGGTCAATGGGTAGGTGCCGCAATACCTACTCGGCTTCCCCCTCCCCCTCCCCGGGTTTTTACTTGCATCACCTTTATCTTCTGTTATGCTTATGCTCCCCCGTCATCGAAGCTTTTCTAACCAAATACGAACCAAAAACAGAAACTCCATTGAATCAACCGCGAGATGCAATAATACTAAATAATACTAACTTTAATGAATTCCCACAGTATGAAAAGCGACAAAATTGTGACTCGTGGAGTTCATGAAAATTAACAGCATATTATAGACGCACAACTGATTTAAATGTGATCTATTCGCTCTTCATTCTCCATAGTCATCTCCGCTCATTTTTACATATACAAAGCGTAATCCAATCCACCCATTCATCCCACATACCTCATCCGACATAAACACCTTAACAAAATCCTCCCGCATACACAATACCATGCTACAAACGCCCAACATGCTCCTGCTTTTCCCGCATCCAAGTGCTCCTCTCCCGTTTCCCAAACACCATTATCCAACCTGCATATAAAAACAAAAGAAATTGCTTATTGTGATGAGAGCTCAATTCAGATCTTTTGCTCGACATCTCCATTGAAGTCTTCATCGACAATCGTCTCATCATCCTGATATTCCTTGTATTCCGTTTCTTGTACGCATTTTTCACTGCATCCGGATTCGCTTTCCAGGAGTCCCCTCGGTTTTTTAACGATGAAAGCATACGTTTCATCATCCTCGAGGAAAATCTCCCCTCTCCTCGAACTTTGTTTCCTGCATCGAAATATTAGCCACGGAAACCAAGCAAACATCAAACCACAAAAAGAAATATATAACTTACCCAAACCTCTCCACAAACTCCAACGCACAAACCACCATTAAGAAAACCACCACAATCCCCACAACCATAAAATCATTTCTCCTTCCCATTTCCAAATGCATCATACGCGTTCGATACCCCCCCGCAGTTCCCGGCCACATATTCGAGTTTCCACATCTTCCCATTTCCCCAACACCCCCCTTCTCCAATTCCCCCTCCCAATATTTCCGCGCATCTTCTTTGCGCAGCGAAGATAGTGCCGAAGTAGGCATACTCGGCCTCGCAACATCCTCATCGGTTGTCCTTGTCAAACTTTGAAGATACGCGGTGCTCAATGGGGTTGCGGCCGAAAGAGCTTCGTCTGCAGGGATATTTTTGGAGGGGGTGGTGGGTGCATTATCGAAGGCGCCTTCTTGGGCAAAATAATCGTCGTGCGATGCAGATGCTGATGTCGTGGTGGGTGGGATGAAGGTGTGGAGAGCCAGTTTTTGATGCTCGGGGAAATGTGGATTGCGGGGATTACTCGGTTTGGAATGCGAGAGGGCGAGGGTGGTTATGGCGGTGCGGAGGGTGTTGCAGGGTTGGGAATGCAGACATTCTTGTGATTGGGGCTTGATTCGTAGGGAGACGGGGAATGCGGTTGAGAGTTGGAGGAAGAGAAGGAGCGAGAGAGATGATGTTGGTCGCATTTTGGCGATTGATTATTGTGAATGGATGGTGAACTCTCGGAGGAATTGCGAATGGAGAGACAAAATATATATATTCAAGAATTGTATGATATATCCCGTTCCTCTGTTCGTGGATGGCAATTGATATTTCGATGTTTTCGGGAGCTTGGCAGGTCGTCACACTTTACAATGGTTAGGAATGCCGCAACCGGATTGAAAAGTAAACTCAATATTCCCAAACGCAGCTCGATAGAATTGATCGACACGTTGAATATGATCAATGCGAATTACGAATGAGAAGTAGAAGTCAAAAACCACGAAGTAGGATATAAAGATGTGGAGGGAGGAAACCTCTCATACTTACATTCAAAGACACCACATTATGTAGTTGTAACACATTAACCCATACAGTCAGTACATACCATTCAATCACCCACAATAAGAAAAACAATAATTGCAACACAGTATTAGCATTTCCGGTCATGATCTAATCAGGCACTAGTACTAGTGACATGGGATAAATCAATCCAAATCCTTTCACATACAGACAGTATCTATTTAACTTTCTCATGCAAACCTAATCCTACCAAATCAAGAACCGCATTGGGCAATTGTGTCAGTCAGCAGAGAAAGCTTCAGCCCTTCAGGGTCCTAAAAGTGCGCGATTTCCAGTATAGATTCCCGGGTTAATGGCAGGGTAAATGATTAAGGTTACATGGGGCTCATGCGACATGGATGAAATTGTTTCTTTTGACTGTTCGATGCAAGGTGAGATACGATATGGGGGCTGGGTTTTGTCCGAGTTGTATTTAGGTACAAGTAGGTATTGATTCACTTATTACTGAGTTGAGAGAAACGTGCTCTCTCTCGTATACAATTATAAGGTTTTGTTTCTCTTACTGATTAAACATGTGAAGATATATTTTACTTTTTGTTTTGATTCATTCTTCATTACATATCATTCAAATCCTATTCAGGCAGCTAATAGGTGATCATCTATTAGACCTTTCAATAACCTGTAGCCTGGAAACGTGGGTTGATTGATACTCAGCGCTACTCACAAGTTACAACCGACAGACTTGCCAAGTGTTGATCACTGAACGGTTGGAGATTCAGATGATTTGTGGGATTCTGGATTATGAGGTGAACTAAAAACACCCCTCTTCGTATATGTACCTATAGAAATCCTTGTTGGAGGTTATATACTGCCTGTCACCGATACTACTGACACTGATAACTGATACTGAGATGGTTTGAACCAAACACTTGAAGCATAACCTAGGTACCTACCTACCTAGGTATTCTGAAGCGAAACATTTGTGGTGTTGAATACCTATCTTTGTATGATAGATAACCCCACTGTGTTGTAAACAGTACCTACTCATGTCGCCAAAAAGTCAAAGACTAGGCTATTCCTGCTGTAAGTTTACCACTGTGTGGCATATTTACCCGAGTTGCGGACTTTCTGGCAGTATAATAGTATATCTCTTTAGCTTGGCTTACTACGATACTATATTGAAAGAAAGATTTAGACTTATGGCTAGCATCACAATGTACCGGTTTGAAAATTTATCATGTGGTGCTTTACGAGTAGGTTATTGGTTACAGTACCCAATAAAAGTCTCGAAGTTTGTCATCCCAAAGTTGTTGTTCATTTAATCCCTCAAAACCTTTTTTCTACCTCAATTGACTCCTAAACGAGTTATTCTTGTCAATGGATGAAGGGGTAAATGTTCCCATATTTCTTGGCATTTGTGCGCAGTGCAGGATTTCACGATAAAGACTTCAATCGATCCTTCTAAATCGTGATATTGATATTTCCTATCAAAGCTTCAAAAGATTCAATTTATGACGATCATGATAACGACATCATAAGTTCTGTTCGTCATAGTATATTAGCTCTTGTTCGTCAGAGTCTGACGATCGACAGGTACAGATCCGGAATCCCTGTACCTTTTCCGATCTAAAGATACATATCCGAAGCCTATTCAGAGCCGGACCGGTAGATAACGTCATGGGGTTCTTTAGCGAAGTCTCGATCTTAATAATAATAATAATATTAGGGTGCTCTGTGAAATGCCATGAAGATGCTGAAATACGAACCTAGCTAAAGTTTAAACACGAGAACCAGCGTGTATGTTGCATTGTCGTATTTAAAGAATTAGAGACTTCTTCTGACCTCCCCCCCTTACCGGGGTCCAGCATGGCCGCCCCCAAGAAAAGTTGAATTCCATGAATCCTTCTCGAACGATGATAGAAGGTTATTTCGGCCATTTTCTGCTTTAGGGGGAGTGCTTATATCTTGATACTACCTTATCTTCACTGCCACCAATTTTAAAAGCGTCACTCCTTTGAATCTCTCCTCGAGATGGATGGTCCATTACAGCGCTTCTTAAAACTTTGTGTCTGGTGCCTGGTGAGAATAAAATATGAACGCCGCTTGTCCGCCCAGGCTACCTATTTAGAACGAGGTCCCCGAAAGGAAGTCTCCATTGAGGGAAGCAAAGGATCAAAAGAGAGGCTGACGAACTGTTCAGAGTAACAGTCTAGATAGCCTGTTCCACAATGCACACAATATAAGCTTCCATCGCCATGACTTGGCCATGCAATGTTTGTTTTTCTGTGGTAAGGGAGTTGGAATTATGCTTATATGGGAGGATTTTGATGCAACAACAATGAGATGAGATGATAATCAGATGAATCCTTTATGGTGATTTGATGATTGATTTTCTAATGCCAGTGATAGCATTGTTTTGAAGAAATATATGAGAAAAGGGGATTGTTTGTGCCAAGAAATGTTTCATAAACCACTTGTAAGGAATAGAAAATGAAGTTGTGGTGGTGGTGGTGGTTTTCCTAGTGCTCTTGGAGCTCGTCCTTGGAGTGATCTAATTCATTTCGTCAGGTGATATTAGGTAAGCACATCTAAAATCCATCAACCACAACGGTAGACTGAATCGACCTCAGTAGCAACAAAACACACATCCTCAAGGCTGAGAATTTCTTGATGTCAATGCTACAGCCTTCTCAACTATGGTGCCTCCACCGGCACCCCAATCTGCTCCCCCTTTAAATCGCAGTTCAACAGTACCTTACATCCCTTCTGCACGAAGTATTCCTCACGAGCGATCGCATCTTGCGCCAGAAGATGCCATATTTCAAGCCTCACCACCTCGCAGACCATCTGCGGCTGTCAACCAATTGCGTATGACAAATGGAGATGCTGGAAGATTAAGAAGTAGAGGAAGACATAATGACAGAACTAAAAGTAGTAATAGAAGACGGAAGGCTACTTGGAAGAAATTGTTATGGGTGAAGCAATCTTGTATGGTCTACTTCATTATTGCGAATGAACAATTGTACTGAACAATTGAAATAGATCCAGACAACTATACAGATCAAGACACATTTCTCGAACATCTCCAAAGAAATCCACGTCTTCAACCTTATGACTTCTGGCCATTGGTAGCGGACTCGACGGTTATCGTACAACATGTTTGTTCGGTCATAATATTCGTCGTTTCTTTCGTTGGGATATATCAGGAACATGTATCTCCGGTTTCTGTTGTTGGATGGGGATCTATAGCTACCTTTTTAGGTTGGTTACTATGGGATTTATGGATAGGACAAGAAGAAAGTACTCGGCCAGCATTTCTACCTCCGCAGCCATTCTCGCACAATATATCTGCAGCAAGCTCATCACCAAATCTATTGGCAACATCTGCAAATGGACCAAGACATTCTCCTTCAATATCAACATCATCTCTTCAATCCACGGTCTCGAATCAAACTCAACCACCTCCAACCCGACCAATTTATACACCACATAATCCACCTTTCTCTCATCGCACATCTCTTCGTCTTTCAACCGCCAAATCAGCTCTCTTAATATACTTCACCCTCCTCGGCCTTTCTCCCATTCTCAAATCTCTCACCTGGTCTACCTCTTCCGATTCCATATGGGCAATGTCATTTCTTCTCTTTACAATTAATATATTCTTCTTCGACTACGCCACCCCCTCCTCCTCCTCGTCATCCGGCTATCCACCCTCAAATATTAAAAATAAAAACATCCCCGCCAGTTTGAGTACGAATGCTGCTCTTATGGCCTCCACAGTCCTCGCTTCTCGCCTTCCTAGCACTGGCCAAGTCTTTAGCTTGACACTTTTCTCCATCGAAGTCTTTGGACTCTTTCCTGTTTTCCGTCGTTATACCCGCTTACATTCTTTACGTGGTCATCTAATCCTTACGCTGCTACTCGTCTTTGGTGCAGGCGGTGGTGTAGGATTGGTACTACCACAATCAGGTAGATCAGCCTGGGATTGGAAAAGTGGAACAATTGGTGTAGTATTGGGTACATTGATTACGGGACTGGCTATGGGTGGATGCAGTTGGTGGTTAATTGGGTTGCAAAAATATAAAAACGAGATTCATGGGCCATGGGATCCTGCGAGACCAGTTATTAGAAGGGCTTGGGATGATTATTAGACGGACGAGTTATGGAAAGGGTATAGAATTATATCTAATGAGGATTTCTGATCGTATTAATAAATATTGAAATAGCTAGAAATGATGGTGAGAGCGCTAGGTAGTCTACTCCACGGCCAGTAGCTGCATCTCGATGGCCTCTCCATCGGTTTGTGTTTAATCTCTTTTCATGATCTATTGGTTTCTCTCCAGTAGGGTCAATTCAATTATGATATATGCAACAGAAATAATTGTCTGTTGCCTATCAGTCAGCTTGGTTCTCCCTTCACATTTTCACCCTTCTCACTCTTCTCACTCTCCAATCAACACCTATACTATTTAACAATACCATACACTTTCGGCTCGAGTGGAGTATAAAACTCTCTTAAGGGTGGTATTCACAGTCATAATTCCTTATGATTCCTATCCAATACTATTTATCCCCTCGATGAAATCGTAACAAATTCTTAATACACGTATACTTAATGCCCTCAATACCTCATCTTCAATCCTCCATACTTATTTTATCTAACGAACAACTTCTTTCTCGTGAGCTATCTATCTATCTCTATCTCTTTTCCTTTGCTATCTCTCATTATTCTATAAATCGTGATCTTAGATAGACCTTGATTCTGGACAAGCAAACCGCATCTCAATAATGCCATGTAAGACTTAATTACATGCTTCAAAAATCTCTAGCTACTAGGTACTCGAGAACCTCCCATCAAGATAAGGCAAGGCAAGGCAGGACAAGTGAGGTGAGAAGAAGTACTGACTATCCTATCCATAAGTTGACGGTATTTGAAATTGATGTTTTAATTGAAGATTTGCAAATTGTATGGATTTGTTGGTTTAATTCGTGATTTGTGATTTGTGATTTGTGATTCGGTTAGAAAAGGAGAGAGGAGAGGGAATATGAGTAAATAAATGGGGTTCTCGAGGATACCTGCAGGTGGTGGTGCAGAGTGATCTTTGTATGTGGGGTAGATGTAAATGAATGGAAGAGGAAGAGGATGATATGGTTTTATATACCAGTATGGTACTTCGAGAAGGAATATACTCGAGTAGAGTGCTTTTTCTTTCGCATTCTCTGATTTTTTTTTCTCGGGAGATATATGTTTATGTTTATCTGCTGCTTGCCTTGCCTTCCCTTCCCTTGCCTTGCCTTGCTTTGCCTGTTTGGTGGTTTGGTATGCCTTGTCGACACATCATGAGATACAGAAATTAAATCGGTCGGCTGTTTGGAAATTGATGTGTTGTTATATGTAGTTTTCGGAGTTTTTAGGGCAGAAGAGATACTTGTAGTTATAGTAAGTAGTGAGTCATATTGCCTTCGATCGCATACTGACCAGATTTTGAAACATATTCATGTAGTTTTGGCTTTGTTGAAGCTACAGGTTCTCCAAGTCATTCGATGTAAGTTCTGGAAACACTGATGTACAGCAGTTATATCAGACTGATGGAACTATCGAATATTCAAGTAACTTCTATATACACACACTGATGTATAATAGTCGTAAGAAACCATCTAAATGTCCTTCGCATTCCCAGGTATGACCATATAGCATCCGACATATAGATGAAGCCATCCTGCCCATCAAAGACATCTGTAGGGAATGCATTATTTTTCGAGCTGATTTGATATCTTTGGCATACTATTAGTTAAGTGTGGTCTGATATGGTCCATTCGGTATAAAAATGGTAAATTGAATCCCGAATGGTCTGTAGTAGGTGAGTTTCGATCCCGAAACGGACTCTCTCGTTTTGGCTTACGTCCGAGTCTCTACAAGACAAGGAACCCTCCGAATGCCTAGTCATCGATCATATTGATTGAGTTTGAGTAAATACGGGTACTGATATCTTCAGTACTACCATTGGCGATCAATTAAAAGGTGATGAAAGCTGCAGCGTAAACCGACGAAATTGATAATCACGTGTTGAATTGTAGCTCTTTCTTTTCCGGACAGTTTCCTTCCCTGTCAAGTCCTTTTCGTTTTTGTCATCCGCTAATGTAGGTTTCTCTCTTTTTGTATCAATTTTCTCTTTCCTTTTGCGCCGAGCTCTTCCTTCCTCACAACCAATTTCTTTTCCTTTTCTTTCCTTTCAAATTCGAAGCCCACAACATCAATTTACTAGAGTACAGCTTCTCACAAATATTTTTACATCACTTCATTTTACAACAACCATGTCTATCCCTTCTTGCTCCATTTGCTCTGTTTGCTTTGTTTTCCAATCTCCAGGACTGCTTTGTGCATCATGCAAATCGATTTCCTATTGTTCTTCAAAATGTCAGAAACTGGACTGGTTTCTCCACAAAGTTCTTTGTAAAGATTTCGCTTCACTTGCCCCACGCCCTTCAGACGACCATAGACTTGCATTTTATTTCCCATTAGACTCCGATAAACCGAAGCTGCAATGGGTTTGGCGCCCAAGAACTCGCCATCCAGAGGGTGGTGAAAACATAATCGAGCTTCCAAACGTGGAGGTGCTTCTCAGAGCCCGGGATCACACGGAAACGATACAGATCAAGATTCCTCTTGACAGTCGAAGATCAGCCGAGGATCATACATTGACAATCTTCTGTCATCGAGGCTATTTGTCTGATGGCGCGGACCTCAACCAAAGTGTCATCTATATGATTGCGAGAAATAAGTGGCCATGGACCGGACCTTTGCTCGTACTTCGAGAAGATCATCCTGATTGTTACTCAACTAGCTCGGATGTTGTTTCGGCAGACTTTCGCGTCGTTATACAATTCTTGAAAGACCGATGTAAATATCAGCAAGAAGAAATAAAGGATCCCGAGTCGCCACAGGGCATTGTGCTTAGATGTATGGGTGATGTGTCCCTAGTACAAGGAATATTCTCAACGGCAGTCCTCAGAATTTCTGCCTCTGACCCGATTCATGAATTGGAACCTACGAATGTCTCGAGACAGATGGAGCTTCCACTGCTCATAAGAAAGTATCCTCGAGAAGGGAGTAGGTACCACGACCTTCACGAAATTTGGTTCGAAAACGAAAGTGGTGCTGCGCTAAATCTTGATATTCGTCCTGATAGTGAGACGTGGGGAAAAGCACTTCCTGAATGGCAAAAGGATCCTGGAACTATTATGGTGATGAGGCAGGACAGACGAGATATTACCATGGAGCAAGTCTCAGCCATTGTAGAATTCCTAAAATGCAGAGCTGAAACTATGAATAAAGTTGTGATGGATCGCCTGGCGAGAGAACAATTCGTTCGGCACACTTTCACCAAGGAGTGTTTCGAGAAATTTTTGTTCGATGTATTCATACCCGCATTGTTAGATGGAAGCGCTGGTTTCATTTATAGAAAGCTGAAGTCTCCTTATAGCAATTGAGATGATTCAGCCGGCTAGTAATGAAGTAGGCGATTTGTTGGTCATTCAGTAGGACTGTCAGATGATTATTGGGACGAAGTTCGGCTTACTTCGGAAGTCTTTGTATGATCCATCGGTCCGAGAAGTACAACGATAGAAAGGTTGTTTTGGAGTTGCATATCGTCGTGGTAATAGATTGGCGATACCATCTGACAGTCAAATTAGAGTGCGGTTGGAGCGTTTTTCGATTCACTTACTTCCTCATATGAGGCATTAGCATTTTTTTTTCGGTCAACAAGATTAGCAGCAGATATTGCACCTTGATTTAAAGTATGGAGCGGTAGCAATATTCACCATATACCTGATTAGTGCTTCTTGACCATGAAGATGATATCCTTTGTGCAATAGTGTCCATGCGTGCCGAGCACTCGTTAAAGCTTTTTCTTGTAGTAATAGTATCGGGTGTATATCGTCTGATAATCCATTTTGGTTCAGACTAATTTCAAACTCAACCTATCGAATTCATCTCTGTGTGGCCAAAGCTTGGTAGGAAATTTCTATCATATGCTCTCTAGCGTAATTTCCCTTTCTTGCTCTTCCAACAAGCAGATGACCGTATTGATTCCCCATCTGAAAATAAGAGTGCACGTGTACGACTCACTGTACCCTTAGATTCTCCCGTTCCACGAGGCCGTAGCAAGTGTAAAGCTTATACTTGCTTACTGTTATAATGTTATTGCTTTCTTTAAGTTGTTAGATCGCATCAACTCTCCCTCAGGTTGGCTTCTTCCATTTATTAGCAGCCTGCTTCCATTCCCAGCCGTCATTCTCTAACTTTCTTATATCACCCGACAGACTTTTTGTAGACTACTCTGATTCACAACGTTTGGTGAGTAAAAGTGACTTTTATTTGAGCTACACATAAACTTTTCCACATGTTTCGTCATACTGACCCTTGGCTTCCTTAGATACTTTTCCGCAAACCCTAAACGATCTACCCCAATGACTTCACGCCGCAACCCACTCTTTGGCCCACGGGTCTCGATCTCCTCCTTTGGTCCCAAGATTGAACACCCAAAGTGTGGATACTGCACAGAAGATGCTTCGATCCCTTGTACAAACTGCAACGCCACATGGTACTGTACAGTAACGTGTCAGGAAGTCGATCGCCCTGTCCATGACATGATCTGCCAAATCTACACGGATTTCGTTACCGCACACCCATGTCCCCAGGACACCTTCGATAAGAAATACAGACTAGGTCTCCTACTACCTGTCGATTCGGAAAAGTTCGAGCTGGCTTGGATCGCCAATGGGTCTAGCGGAAAGTCCGTGGCAACATTCCTTCAATACTATGACCAAGACCGCATCAATACTCGTAAGACGCTTGTGGACTGCAACATGGCAAGCAAGGGGTTTGATCATTCCATCATTTTGGCCGTCCGAGGGAACTTCCGGACCGACAATTCATTGCCGAATGCCTGTATCAATCATATGATGGATGGAAAGTTGAAATATGCTTTGAAGGGACCGGTTGCTGTTGTTAGTGAGAGTGGACAAGATTCATTTGGAACTGCTCAGCATTTTCAACCATGCGATTTTAGGATTCTTATCGACTTCCTCTTTAACTATGAAGGAAATCCAGATCTTGAGGTAGGACACGCTTGTGGTAGCGAATCGAAGGGAATTCTAGGTGCGTCGGTGACTCGATTTTTGAAGTTTTTTAAGGGCAAAGCGCCGGATGGAAAGAGTAAATCAACAAACACTCTCTTCGATGTCGAGGACCATAGGATCTACAGACACCGAGCTGCATCTTTCACTGAGTCAGACTGGGTTATGGACTCTGCATCTTTCCTTCCAAAACATAGGGTTCAGCGCTCGCAGTCTAGCGTCAAACTTGGCAGTTGTAGAGACGATGGTTCTTCGCTTCATCGGCCAAAACCATTTGTTTTGCCAGATTTTATACCAGACTGGATCACAGGATCTAAATCGATTGCCGTCGGACCTCAAACACATTCGAACACCGTTCTAGAAGATCGCTCTTCCAACAATAAGAAGAAGACAGTTAAGCCTGCCGCTAGCATTGACAGCTTAAAAATCACCACAATCTCAGAAGGCATCACCCGTGTTTATCGGAATGACAACGTCTCGATCAGAGACTCCGTTGACATCTTCAACATCCATAGCCGCTCCGTATCCAAGATAATTCACCACGACTCTGCGTCCGTTCTGTCGGCTAGACCGAGCCCACCTGTTATTACCACGACTTCTTTCTTCCATCCCAAGTCGATGGCTAGTAAGAGCAAAGGCAGCACCTGGTCAACTACTAATACAACGGCTACCTTGTTCAGTCGTCCGAGATCTAACGGCACTAATGTGCACCGCGATGGTCGTCTGATGCTCCAACTAAATGTAAGAGGCTCGGTATTGATGTCTCCGTGGATGGTTTGATACTGGAATACTGGAATACTGGATGCACAAGGCACTCGTATAAATAAGTTTCCAAATAATATCTATAGGCGAGGAAGATCTAGATCTCAATGAGATAGAGATAGAAATAGAGATACACAACAGCAGACACAGATCTCGACCTGGGTTGGAGAGTTGCCTTCGGACAGGTGCGATAATCAGACATTTGGGCAAGGATCTTCAGGTGCACAGGAGAGAGGCGGTTTTTGATACTTTCAATTTTTCTGGCGCTGGCGCAAGTTAGTGGTCTTTGAGGCGGGTTCGATAATATTTCGCGTTTTTAGTTAGTTCCGTAACAATTTGAATATGGTCACCCACTTTTGGGTGACTTTCGAATGTTTGTATGCATTTGTTGCGGACATTTACTGTATGTGTGAACTTAGTAGAGCTGATACAAGGTGCTGGTGCTTTCCGTACACTTTTAGTGAACTTCTAACGCTACATGTAAAGGGTGGTAGGATGACTCTTGAGTAAGAGCTGTTCTAAGTGGCGGAGAGGCAGAGATTACATTCACTTTTCTTCGGTGCTAAAGTGTGGTTTGATGATGCTATACACCTTTCTGTTGGTTCTGACAGGTAGCTTATTGACGATTTTGTGAGTTTCATCAACCTCAAATTTGTAAGTTTCTTTTTGCATAATATTGTTAGAAAAGGGTTGCTGAGTCAGCTATGGCGCTAGGGCCTATGCTAGGGATAACCTCACTTCCACAGCTCTCCATAATTTCACCATCCTTAGTTGTACAACACCATCTTTAATATTATTATACAAATTGATTGCCACGTTTCTATTTCTTACAGGTTATAACCCCGGTTGCACCATATCTAATGCGAATCAACAAAATAACAGAGAAAAGTAATAAATCGACATATTCATCAAAATGGGGTATGATTCCGATTTTTGATGGAGACAATTATTCCGATTTTTATTTAGTATGCTAGTTAGTTCTCATCGCCGCGGATGTCTGGAATATTGTCTCTGGTATTGAGAAAAAATCAGCTCTTCCAGCAGAGCCTACTTCAGGGAACGTTAGACAACATACAGATTTTATTGATAGGAGAGGAAAAGCCATTACAATTCTAAATGGGGCAGTATTACCTATTTAATGAAAGAAACTAATAGAATTTGCTGATATCGCTGATGTCCCTGGTATGTGGAAAAAACTAAAAAAATCAGATCAAATATCGAATCCTTTTTATATTAATAATATTCATTCTGAATTCAGATTTCAGAAATTTAACCCCAAGACCAATATAATTAGAGCATATATTGATAAATTTTTATACTAGCAGCAACAATTTATGAATAGTAATGATCCTATTATTAATGTAAAGGTAAAAAATTAACTAATGCAATCGATTTTTTTAGTCTTGGATTGGCAAATCAGGAAATGTTTATACCTTTCACAGAAATTGATTCTAAACACATCGATATTGGAACTCTAATCGAATAAATCGATACAATATCAAAATACAGTAGCACATGCAGTATCGAAAGGTAAAAGTAAGAAAAGAACTTACTCGACTAGGGAGGACAATATGAGTGAAATCGAGTGTTTCTTTTACAGAGAACAAGGTCATATTCAAGCGAATTGCCATACATATAAAAAAGCTAGAAAGGATCTTAAATCGAAGTCGAAATCGAAGTTGAAATCGAAGAACAAATCGAAATCGAAGAAGATGACAAAATCCAAGAAATCAAAGGATGACTCTGAATCATCATCATCATCATCGGAAGAGTCAAGCATTGATGATGATAAGGTTGAAAATACGAAAAATAAAAGAGAAAATATTAATAATGGTGGAAAGGCTAATTTTGCTAGTGATATAAATAACAATAATAATCATGATACATATACTGGATATGCTGATATAGTTTAAGATTATTCCGTCCTGAATTAACACCTCAAGATGAAGAGATTCAAGTATTTTTAAAGCTATGGTTGTTCTATCCTGGGTTGTCTTAGGGTAAAGAGGTTGATCACCTTAATAATCATGATTGTTCTACTCGAGAGAATAAAGAGGTTGATTACCTTAAAAATCATGATTGTTTTATTCGAGAGAGTAAAGAGATTGATTACCTTAAAAAATATGGTTATACTACTCGAAGGGATTCTGAGTAAAGAGAGTTGTTATCTTAAAAAGCTAATTTCAATGGTTTTTATGGTATGGGAACGTCAGGGGTACTCTTTGACTACAATATGGTTTGAAAACACCATAGGGTGATTCTGAACTCCACAGGAGATGTAGGAATACCACGATAGGATATCGTTGTAGGATTTAATAAGGCCTAGACAGGATTTCATTTTTTTTGGGTATCGAGAATCTGGGAATAGCTTCATTTTTATAGGTAAAAAGTTTCAGTAATAGGGGGATATTAGAAAAGGGTTGCTGAGTCAGTTATGGCGTTAGGGCCTATACTAGGGATAACCTTACTTCTATAGTTCTCCATAGTTTCACCACCCTTAGTTGTACAACACCACCTTCAATATTATCATACAAGTTGATTGCCACGCTTCCATTTCTCACAAATATAACTAATTCCTTTACCGAAAGATTGCTTGTTAAAGCAGTACATATTCACATAATTTATAAGCCGATGCATGTAGACTATAAAAACTCAGTATATCCTAATTACCTGTGTGTTTGCACCAATATTAATATAAATCTAAAGTTGAAAGTCCCTATTGTAGACATAAAAGAAATTGCAGCCCTTCAACCTTTCTTGCTTGTAAAGCTTCTCCAATTTCTATCTCAATTCAAAATTGATTCCTTGAAGGACACCAGGCTCTGCGTTCAAATAGAATTCAACAAAATAGACCCACATCGATATCGCAACCATGTATCAAGCATTTGATCGAATCCCTGTGAGTTCCGAGATCTTAGGAACGGTGTTGTTGCAGTGGCAGTAGATACCCATGATTTCTTACAGTTCTCGTGTGCCAAAATAGAGTAATGTTCCTAAGAACGCGTGCTGTGGCTTCTGCAGCTACTCCTTCAAAGCTAACTTGTCTATATTTCGATGGGATTGTTTTGGTCTTGGTAAATGCGGAACCAATATGCAATGACACGAAGATCGGATGGTTGACTATCCTCCATGAGCTGGGTTCTACCAGATATACGTGTAACAGCTTTTGATGCTCTCCATCCAGATCCCATTTGGTTGTTTGCCAGTTTAATGGCACATTGATTTGACGGTAGGTTGTGGCTTAACTCAACGTCGTTTCAAGAGCTCCTAATCTCTAATTGATGGTCGAGGGCAAATTTGTGATCCTTCCCACAAATGCTTTGAAGTAACGTGTCAACGGCCAGCAAAATGATACATCTACCGCGCCGAAATACCCAACAAAATTCTCTCCGTCAATACGCGGTGTCCATATATGACAAATTCGGCGGCTGTTGTGATCCAAACAAATTTCGGTCGCTCTGAATTGACTGGAATCAAGATAGCAAAATTAAACAAGCAAACTTTGTCGCCTCCCGAACATGGTACATTTACCATGAATTTAACATAAGCCTTACAAAAACGTACTAATTCAAAATTAGCTCCAGGAAAGCTCGGTACGCTCCCGCACAGACCATTACAAGTATCCTCGCCTAATTGCCCACTAGTTTCAATAATATAGATACAAAGGTATCACATCAGCTACTACCAAGCAGGTAGCCACGATATTACCCTTGTAGTCACTTAGAGCGCATCAATATTTCAATATGTACATCATCAATTTCTCTAGAGAAGAACAATTCTAAAAACTGTTGTTGTAACCGAGTCAAAATACTTCATTGCCCCGCACTTCCCCGACCGGATATGTTTATTGTCACTTGATTTCTTGCGCAAGAATCCCTTTCTAATTCTACCACATCCAGTACGTTAGATTCTGGGATCTTGCATCATCACAACTACTGCTGGCCCTAAGATATCCGATTAGATGTCTGGAATATCTGACAATCTTTTTTAAGAGCTATGTCATAACCCCACAATATCTGCGGACAGACATCTAATCTATAACTCGGGTTCTAGCTTCACTTTAGCCATTCCCAACTTCACAGTACCGTACTTGACAAGTTATTTCTAGTTTCCCGTAAAGGATTAGCTACTTCTTTCACCAATAACAAATTTCCAAACGTCAGATTGTAAATCCATCATAGCTGTTTTCCGTTCATAGCCACACTTAACATGGTCGTATTCGACTTCGTAACCTTAGATAATAATATCTGGTATACAGCTCTATACTAACCATTCATTCAACATTAATGAGAAGCGATCTTCCTCTTTATCCTCAACCCATTTACCATCTACTTTTCCCTTCGTTCCATTCTTGATTCTCTACTCGACTAGACTCCAACAGGTTTGGCTTTGATTTTATTTGAGGTATAGATTTCCTTTTACTGCTCATGAAATAACCCCTAGAATAAAATCACTGGTTTTCTCTTGTTATCAACTGGCTTAATGAGATAGAATTTAGTCCTAGATCTCAAATGATACACAATGAATACGAAAGTTATTATATTCCATCTATCTTTAATAGATCAAACACAAGATAAAAGATCTCGTTCTCCCATGCTTTATCACCCCCGGCTACCTTATAACTCTTCACACCTTTGAACACCTTCTCGGAATGACCGCGTAACTACCATCCTGTATTTTGATCAACCAAATCAAGAAAATAGCTTCCCGTGAACTATTCGTCAAATTTCATGTCTTCTGTGATCCGAATCAACTTAGATGTGTCCGACTTTTCGGGAAATATAGGATATCAGTCGCTATCTTGGCAGGACGAGATAAAGATAAATGGCAATTACACGATGTCTTTTAAGGCGCAGAATTCATTGCGCATATATTTGTGCTTCTTCCAAAAGCTTTCTTCTGGCACTTAAGACTGCAATACCAGATACATTGACAAGTTCCGCGTTTATTTGATGTAGATTTATGATACAGCTCGCATATGGGGGAGGCATCCGTTCACGTTAACCGAGTTTCTCGAGGGTTTCTCTGCTCAGATGAAAATCTATGCAAATATTTTACATTAGCCACGTTTTCCTGACAAGAAGAATGAAGTTCGCACTTCGAAGACAAAAGTACAAGTCACAATATGAGGGCCAAGGTAAACGTCCTTGAACACGCTAAGGATGACAATAGTGACTTATCCAATAATTTCAGTCCCGATCTAGAAACCGAGAACTCACTCTCGAATGGATAGATAGTACTCGGCTGTTTATCCCTACTGATAGTTGTAAGAGTTGAAGGTTTCGAAGGAGATTCGGATTTTAAACCTAGAGGTTGGAAGGTCAACTAGTCCTCCACCCAATATTCACTGTGGCCTGTTTTCTCGTGTTCCCTTCTTCAGCTTAGGAATCAAACTCAGGTGAACTGAGGAACCACACATCATCACCCAAATCATTCTGCCTCGCCAGTATCAAATCTACAACTCAGTCTCACCTCAAATCATCTTTCAAACTACGTTCTTCGAGAACGAAAAGAGGTACACTTCACTACTTATTATTCAGACTCACTTTACGACTCTATCTCCGTAATGTCGGACGAAGGATCAGTTTCAGATTCATCAGGTCTTGACTCACTTGTGAACTCCTCACTTTCACTATTCAAAAGTAACGAACGTTGTGTTATTTGTGATAAGCCGAAAACAAATTTCTGTCAGCGATGCATGTCCGCCAAGTACTGCTCTAAAGAATGTCAAGCCGACGACTTTCCCATTCACAAATTGTTGTGCGCCGAATACGAACGCATGTCCAAATCTACCAGACCAACTCCGAATGCGAAAATTGCATTCTTCTTTGGTGCTCCTATGACTGGAGAGACACCAAAGCCAAAGCTAATTTGGTGGGACAAGGAGAGACGTGTCATGAAAGATGGTACTGGAAGGGTAACTTACACCAATGTTCTTGCTGAGGGGGGGCGATATGAAGATCCCGAGGTTGGTACGACCACCATATTGAACGATTTCGCACGTGGTGATCATTCCAATGATCATACTGCTCCCACGGGTAGAATCCTCGGTCATACTCTCGCCGTCCACTATCGTCATAAACAAGGATTCAACTCGTCCGTCGCAAATCTCGGCATCTTCAAGGCCACAGGTTACAATTTAGCGAAGATGTGGAACGGTCCGGTAGTTATCTACAGCTTGGAGGATATGCACATGCCATATTCTGACCTTCGCAAGGTTTTCCAAGATGTGACAATGTTCGATTTTCGAATAGGAATCAACTATTTCAAGTTTTACATGAACAAGGGTGGTCGTTCAAATGGTGGTCCAGAAGCACTCTCGGTAGGCGGAATGTTTCAATATGAAATACATGAGCCCAAACTATTTGAGGAGCTCATGGTCAGATACGCAGGAGATGCGAAGCCGATCAAGGGCGTTCGGATATCATGTCAGGGGGATATCAATCGTCTTCACAAGAAGGAATACCAAGTCATGGATGTCCTTCCAAATCATCCCATCTTCTTTGCCGATCAACCAGATCCTCATGCTTCCATCCTTAAACAGCTTGGGCTCCCGTTAATCGCTCGCAAGTTTTTATCCTGATCATGGCCTACGGCCAGCTGAAGGCGACCTGACCACACCGTCTTACAATATGCTTGGGAATGAAGCAGCAATCGCCTTGAATCTAATTGTCGACGTGAAGAGTCGGCGGTTCAATTTTCCAGATCGTGGCCTGAGATGGACAAACTTTATAGGATCAATTATGCTTGTGAGGGAAGACAAGAAGGATCTCACCATTCACCAAGCCCAAGCTTTGGTCGCCTTTTGCAAGCACAAGATTGACTGGGATGAGATCGCGTTTGGGGAGTTCCTCACATGGAGTGATCCAAGATGTGCGAGCCACGTTTCTAAGTTTGGAGTGTTCGAGATGAAGCAAAATGAAGTACGCCAAGATATCAAAAATGATGGTACTCTCGAGAAAAAATTTCGAGAGTTTTTCGATGAGTACAGGAAGAAGAAGATTCGTGGTTGTGACGCATCTTGGATTGACGAAGTTTCACCATATGATATGTAAGACGGTGCTAACTGGTGGGAATCTAAACTTCGTTGATAGATGGACATAATGCATATGCTCATTATGGTATTTACTCGTCAGGGGAGCATTTCAGTGGTAGACAGGCCTAGCAATGAACTTTCTAGATTCACCATACGTTGGGTTATTCGATCATTAGAGATGACCGAAAGCGGTGCACTTTACTTCCAACTCTTCTGAGGGACAGCTACCAAACATCAGTAGGTAGTCTTATCTAAATCAATCTCATCCTCTTCAATCGACAATCTTCATTAAAAAAAGTAACATCATAACCAAATACCGTGCAGTACAACTCCAAAATTCGACCTTTTACCATAAGCTCCGTGATGTTTGCCACGACAAAGTAGAATCGAACTACTGTGATTGATCGTTCTTTCTTCCTCATGAATTATTGAGCTCCGTGGACTCTGAATAATTCGTAAGTCTTGGAAAATTACCAAATCGGGACCGGCGAGCTTTTAGCGTCTGACGTATCTGTCCCAGGCTTCCATTTCTGTTTGAAACATAAGAACATCACTTTCTTCTTTGCAATATAAGTCTTCTCCATTCGAAATCTAAATTCTTCGCTTTTATAGAATCGCAAGTTGTGCGCCAAACGGAGCTTTGTGGATGATGACCTCCATTCAGCCGTATTCAGGCCTGCAAACATTTCGCGCCGTTTGGATTTTCTGGACAAGGTAACCGGCGTCTTATTCCAGACGCAACTAGATCTTTCTTTCTGGAATTTTGGTTATCTGCAAAGCTTCACAACAGAGACAAAGAAAGGTCTTCGCATATTCTGTTCATCGCATGGGCATGGCCTAAATCATCATGCATGAGCCGTTTGGGTCCCTAGCCTCAAGGGAACCAACTACACTTACGAATTATTTTGATATATACTTCACCGGAGGTTCTAGTGCCTGTCCAGAATACTGATTTCTGACATCGTGGGATTGGCACTACATCCAAGAATCGTGTGTTTGATAGGGAAATAAATACGGGATATCCTCCGACCCCAACGAACTGAACCCGTCGTGGGCCTTTTCTTACCCCACCCAAGTCCCTTGTCTCACGAATGAATACAGTGGTGTATCAAATCCTACAGTATCTGGACACGGATAGATATCTCGAGGTTGTGCACCCATAATCAATTATAGCCGAGCTAGCTTCATACGAGTTACCCTTCGAGTTACCCTTTCGTATCATATAGTTCTCCATTCTTTGTGGCTATAAGAACTTTCAGCTATTTCCCGCTAAGATGGGAACCCTTGGGGAAATTTCGGTTAGATTTGCCCAATCCTGGAATTTTTCAATCACAATTGCTCTTCTCTGGCCACAACAAAGGCCTGCAAATCAAGAGTGTGGCAGTATGCATGGCTTCTAACCTACAATCAATGGGAAAGCCATTTATATTTTTTTCGCTGAACCGTTTGGTCCGACTTTTTGCTTTGAACTCGACCTTGGATATATGTTTGATGCATATTCTTTGCATGCAAAATATTGCTGTATGCAGGAGATCCTGGAATAGCACACGGAAACGCCAGTATTGTCTCTTCTCGTCAAGCCCAAGGCGGACTCTACCGTCTATTACTGATCACCATGAGCAATACAAGGAAGCATTCGGCACCGTTATCACTGGCTTTGCCCACTCTCAACGCCAATCAAAAGTGGGACTCACACGCATTCTGTAATACCAATTCCGGAAGGTCGAATTCATACCACACTGTGGTTATAACCACAGTGGCGGGAATCGTGTGAAGGGTTGAATGACGCACGGGCTTGACACACAAGCTCTATCAAGCTTTCGGGGCTTGCATTTCCAAGACGGATAAGCTTTGCTTGTCCAGATTGATAGCGGGGCCATTGTTTATCGGAATTCCCCTAAAAGGCAGGTGGATATATTGCAGTTTTAGATCACTCCGTCAATTCTCTAGCTTCCAAAAGACGATATAACCGATGAATTGAAATGGAAGTTTCACGCGTTATACATCTTAACACTGTACGAGGACCCTGGCGGGGTGCAACAAGTCGTTACACCAGACTGGGATTACTCCACAATGGCAGACTTCATTTCTTATCTGTTTACATTGTACAGGGTAGCCTCACGGTATCCGAGGTTAATTCCGGTGTAATGGCACAGCAATGATTTCTACATAAGTCGCCGGCCCTCCCGAGACTTTAACTCCTTATCCAGCCCTTTTTGATCTGCTGTGAGCACAAGTTTTCATGATGGACTCGCCACGAGAGACTGACGTCGTTTACGACGAGAAGACTCATGATATACCAGCCACTACCAAGACGTCAGAGTCCAATGATCCTAAAGATGCCCAGAACGACAAGTTTGGCAAGGAGCCTTACGAAACCGAGGTTCCTTCTCAATCTGATGAAGAAGGGCGTGGGGGCGACATTAATGCTCTTGAGACTGCGGAAGATTTTGTTACCGCAATCATTCATGTCGAAGATGATCCAACCATGAACCCTTGGACTTTTCGCATGTTTTTCATTGGTATGTATAACGCCTGGACCTTTCATTCATTCAATGCTAACGATTCTCCAGGTTTGGGGCTATCTGCTTTCGGAGCTGTCCTCCAAGAAATCTTCTACTTTAAGCCTCAGATTATTTATGTATCAGTCAGTAAGTTTATGATAGCCACCCCAAAGCTCACTCTGTGCGTTTGTCTAATACTTCTTAGTGTTCTTGACTGTGATTGCGTATGCCATTGGAGAATTCATGGCTATTATTATTCCAAGATGGGGCAAAGTCGGTCGATTTCTCAACCCTGGTCCATTCAATCAAAAGGAACACGCTGCAGCGGTTATCATGGCATCCGCTGCTGCAGTTTCCGCTTTGTCGACAGAAGCATTGGCAGCTCAAAAGCTTTGGTACGGAGGATACCCTAGTCAAGCTGCTGGGGTGTTCTTGACTTTATCTTCACAGTTGATCGGATATGGTGTTGCAGGTATGATGAGGAGTAGTCTTCTGTGGCCAACAAAAATGCTTTACCCGGCAAATCTCCCTGTCACTACCGTTTTGGAAACTTTGCACAAGGACAAAGCAACGAATAAGAAGAGAATGAAGGTTTTCTGGATTATTTTCTTTGCTCTTTTGGCTTGGGAATTGCTTCCTGAGGTATGTCATGTCATTTACTTAGTCTCTAGAGTATCTCTAACATCATGTAGTACATATTTCCCCTCCTTATCGGTGTCTCAATATTCTGTCTCGCAGACCAACACAGCCTCGTCTTCGCCAATCTCTTCGGAGGTGCCAATGGAAACGAGGGTTTAGGATTATTGTCTTTCTCTTTCGACTGGAATTATGTCGCTGGTTTCGGGTCTCCCTTGTGGATGCCACTTCAAACCTTGGTCAACAGCTTCATCGGTACTCTCGGTTGCATCGTTCTTTTCATGGCCGTATACTATGGCAACATTTGGAGAGCACAAGATTTCCCATTCTTGTCTCAACTATTGTTCACTACCGATTCGAACTTCACGTCATATCAAACCTTCAATGAAACAACTATTCTAAATGACGATTTCACCGTCAATCAGGAGGCACTTGAAGCTGCAGGTATTCCTTACATGGCTTCCACCTATATCGTATATCTCATCACATCCAACATGGGATTTACCGCTAATTTCGTCCACATGTTCCTCTGGAATTATGAAGACATTAAGACGGGATGGGCTTGGGTCAACAAAGCTACGTTAAAGAAGATACTAACTCCGTCTCATTATATGTTCTGGAAGGGTAAGAGTGGCCAGCGTACCGAGGAAGAAAAGCAAGCTTTGAGAGATGATCCCAACATTGATCCTCATTACAAGATTATGTTGGATTATGATGAAGTTCCTGACCTGTGGTACTTTCTCGCATTCTTAGCGAGTTTCATCACATCAATGGCTTGCCTTTATGCTATGAAATCAACTCTTCCCTGGTGGGGCTTGATTTTGGCCATGCTGTTCTTGACGGTTTTCATGTTGTTCTTTGGTGCTCAGTATGCTATTACTGGTTTCCAATTTAATGTTGAACCTATTGCTCAAACTCTGGCCGGATATTTATTCCCTGGAGCTCCTCTTGGTAAGTTATAGATCTTCGTCTTCATTTTCACTACTGACATTAAACCCAGCCAATATGTATTTCACAACCTTTACCTTTAATGCACTTCAACAAGGACAATATCTTCTTCGAGATTTGAAACTTGCCCAACAAAACAAACTCTCTCCAAAAGTTACATATACAACCCAAATCATCGGGTGTATCTTTGGTGCTTGTCTCAACTATGTGATGATGATTACGTACGTTTGACCTTCCAACTCATCACACATACTTTTCCAAAAACTAACAATTCCTCAGCATTGTTGAGAACCAAACCCCACACCTCCTCACGATTCAAGGCACACCGATTTGGTCCGGCGCCAACGTCCAATCTTTTAACACCCTCGCAATCGCTTGGTCCATTGCCCCAAAGATGTTCTCCATCGGTGCCCGTTACCAATGGGTAACTATTGCTTATCTACTTGGATTCCTCGTCCCTGTTCCTTTCTGGGTTATGGCCCGATATTTCCCCCATCAACGTGTTTGGTCTTACCTCAACCTCTCAATCATCCTTTGGTATTTCGGATATCTTGTCGTTGGTATCAACTCTAGTGTCTTCATGTACTACTACATCGGTGCCTTCGGTCAATTCTACCTAAGAAAATGGAGACCAAAATATTTCGTCAAGTGGAACTACTTGGTCTCCGCCGGTCTCGATGGGGGAACACAAGTAATGGTGTTTTTGCTCACTTTCGCTGTTGCGGGAGGAAGTGGAATTAGTAGACCGTTCCCGGCTTGGGCTGGAAATCCCGCAACTGGAAATGTGGACAAGTGTATGTACAATACTGCCAATGGATAAATGTATGGAATGAGTTAGTTGGAGGGGGGTGATGGCCCTTGAAGATTCCCTAGATGAAGAATCTTTTGGGATGGGGGTACTTCGGAATTCGACAATAATGAGAGTTGAACACTAATGAATATATTTATACTGCTTTTTGTTTGACATATGTATGAGCTTTGAGACGTTGTATGACGATGCTACTCTCCATTGTTTTACATTGATCTCACTTAAACGACAGGATGTGATGATACTGTATGCAAGCTCAAGATATAAGGTAATTATGGTACAAATTCAGGTGGTATACAGTCAATGGACATCATCTAAGAAACAAACTTCAATCGGAGTTTGAAGAGTTTCATTTAATCGGTGGCATCTGGTTGAGTCAACCTTTTGGGAGGGCCTTCTAAATACTCACTCTTTCCCCATATAAATCGGAATGTCTATGTCATGTCAACTCATTGCGTGAAGAATCACCCACATTATAAATATATCAACCAATCAATCCTACACAAGATAGATTGCCTGCTCCAGATCGGCCTTGCGTCGGATCAAGGTGATAGTATTACGAAAACCAGCCATCAATTACTATTAAGTCAGAGAATGCCACGGTATGGCACCGCTGGAAAATCCACGGATGTGATTTATCATTTAGTTATTTTTTAACATGATCGGTTAGGAAATCGAGGCTGTTGGCAGTACTCGTAGCCCTTCTAACTTATAAGGACTAAATGAATAATTGAGGGATACCGGTACCAGTATATTCATTTCAATATTCCCATCGATACTTATTATTATGTACGGGCCTGAAGACTGCCGATGGCCACTCTGTACTTGTGCTGGGTCTGCGGAAATCACTGGACTGTGTGTGAGACTTATTATTACATAGTATGATAATACCGGTGGGTAAATTATACTTAGTCTATCTAAGGGGAGTGGGAATAAGAAAGGGGGGTGTTGGTAGTGAGTGATACTCCGATTGTCCTGAGATAATTGGCCCGTTGGTCTAAAAGTGTAAGAGGTACGTTTACCGGTACAGTATCTTTGAATTGATATGTTATTGTTGGGATATAGGTGAATATGGACATGTGATCATGCACTAGGCATTCGCGTCCGTATAAGCCTCCCCGCCCTCGAAGTGGGAATAGCCTCAACTAAACCACTACAACAATACAAGAAGATATCATACAGATTTGATTAACATCACCACCGAGGTGATACCAAGAGTTGTTTGCCAGAAAAGAGCTCAAAAACTCAATCGGTTATATACCTATTTAATCTACTCATGCCGCCAGAAAGTCCACAACTCGGGTAGACAAGCACGTACCATATACTGGTAAACTTCAAGGGTCCAGCCTAGTTTTCTTAGTTCCCGAGTTGCGGACTTTCTGGTGACATGAGTGTTGTATACTATGTATTCTTGACAGATTCGGCAACGCTAAGCAGGGGTGTTTTTGTCTTGATATGCTCCCTTTCGTAGGCTTGTATTAAGTAGATGGTAGAGGGCTAAGTAATAGAGGTTCGTTGTTTATATTGAATCATTATAAATATGAAGTTAATGATAATGTATTTGGGTGTGATTATGCTTTACACGTAACCAGAGTGGCCAACCTGTCAGCTATCAGTGTAAGTCAGTAATAAACTACAGATTTAAAATATCATCAGCGGGATGGGGAAAGAGTGGTATCAAAGGGAGGCAAATTGAAAGGAGGGGGAGGTGGTATCGGAGGGAGAAGAGGGGAGGGGCAGTGTGGGCAGTATTTAACCCGTTCAACTAGTTGGTTTAGTTGATCAAATCCAAACAACCAGTTGGTTCAGTTTAACGATCCCAAATTGGCATTTGGTGGGGGGATCGAAGGGGGGCCTCAATGTTTTATTATTAAATAAACATTATATGTTGGTTGATAAGCAGCTGATAAGCGAGGTCATCGAGTTAGTAGTAATGATAATACCGTGTACTTTTGAAGAATTCGGATAAGCTAAGCAGGGAATCTTTCTCTTGGTATAGGGAAGACTCATATATTTCGACTTAAAATGGTATAGTTACTGATCAGATGAAGGAATTCTGCCAATAGGAATACGAAAGTTAGGCCTGTCAAAACAACCTTAAGT